GTCCAGTATTCGAAGAGAAAAGCGACTTTTAAAAACGTGTCAAGCGGTACTGAGTTAGCAGTCAGGCAGCATCTTACCTGTACACTGTAGGCCATATACGGTAATTGAACACAGAACAGTTGTTCCCTTGCAAATTTTATGTTGTTTACACTTTAGGACAGATAATTGATCACAGAACAATTCTTCCCTTTCAAATTTTATGTTGTTTCCAGTAGACTCTCATCAAAATAAACAAATATAGTAGGCTACAAGTGCTACAACGCTTGCATTACTGCACTGGTAGGACCGTGAAAGAATAAGTTACGGTAATTTCATTGTGGTAAGACACCGGCACCAGTACCAGTATCGTACTTACGTACTGAGCTACCAGTACCGGTTAGCAGTCAGCCAGCATCTTACCTGTACACTGTAGGCCATATACGGTAATTGATCACAGAACAGTTGTTCCCTTGCAAATTTTATGTTGTTTACACTTTAGGACAGATAATTGATCAAAGAACAATTCTTCCCTTTCAAATTTTATGTTGTTTCCAGTAGACTCTCATCAAAATAAACAAATATAGTAGGCTACAAGTGCTACAACGCTTGCATTACTGCACTGGTAGGACCGTGAAAGAATAAGTTACGGTAATTTCATTGTGGTAAGACACCGGTACCGGCACCAGTACCAGTATCGTACTTACGTACTGAGCTACCAGTACCGGTACCGAACCTGTAGGTCTGATATTCCGTTCCGCATACGATAGGCTATAAAACTTGCATTGCAGCATTAGTAATACCGCGGAAGGAATAAGTCAATTTCACTGCGTTACGGTACCTGTATGGCAACTTACCAGTACCGACCTACAGTAGCTGTAGTACTGAGCAAGACAATCGATCGCGAAACCGCTTGAAATAAGTGTAAAACAGTGTTCCCATGAGTAAAAATAAATACCGCGAAATTTTGTATGAAATATCATATCTCATAGGATTCATATAAAATTTAAGAATAAACAAAAGTAATAGCCTTCTAGCGAAAAAATTAATCTTTAACCACTGAAAATTTCAAAGCAATTGGTCCAGTATTCGAAGAGAAAAGCGACTTTTTAAAAACGTGTCAAAGAACAACAAGAACAAGAACAAGAACAACAACAACATAATATTGAAACGATCGTTATGTCCACTACGTGTCCAAAAATGAGCCTAAGGCCAGTCTAGAACTGAACGAATCTACTTATACTTTAGCCAATAAAGAACATTGTAGCATTTTAGAACATGTTGTTGAACGTTGTTGAAGTAGTTTATTATTGTAGATATACACGGAATACAGACGATGGTTAAGACATGACGACATCGAGAAACCCTCCCCCCCCCCCCCCCCCCAAATATCCAATTGAAATCCTATATATATGTATGCGCGTATGGTGATATCGATTCCATTAGGGTTATCGATTCGGGTTGGAATACTAATTAGCATCTGGTGTCATCGACCCAATTATATTTTTGGTTGTCATCTGTTTGTCTAATTACAACGGGCCCTATATCGATCCAATTCATGAATTTGGAGAAATTCGAAATTAGCAATTTCCAGTCTTTTTAATGTATTTTACCTGAAATAACGAATTTATCCCTAAAATACCACACTGGAAAGCCACTTGTTTTCTTTCGCCGCTACGAAAAGGTTGGGAAAATGAAGAAGGAGTTTATTTTTGCTAGAGCATGCTAAGCACCATTTCACACTACTGCATTAAATGTAAAAACTATTGTAAAATCATCTTTAAAAGCTATTTAACTTGGTTGGTGCAAATTCAAATGCATCTATGCACAGAAGATGCCTCAGCGGATGGTTGGGTCAGGGGAGGCTCTGCCACGCTTGTGAAGATAGAAAAGTCTCACGGAACCTTTTTCTACTGCTCGGTACGCTCTTGCAATAGAAACTCTACTTCCCCGTTTGCTAGTCACGGACATCGCGGTTGATTAATTTCATACGCGCAAGAGCCTAAAATTGGAGCTTCTTTTTACGTCTGACTAACGAAATTAAAACTGAACATGTTGGTCTTCTATTTTATACAATGTTAACTTTCGATAAGGATAATATACATATGCCTCTCTCGGCTGTATAAACTGCGAGTTGAGATGAAAATCTTTGTACACAAGAATGGAAACAATTTCATCCCTTCTTTCACAAGAAGAGATTGTCATATCACTTGCGTATCTTGCAGATGTATTTGGGTGCTGGAATGAACCTGTGCTGGATGTTATAGTCAGTGACATCAAAGATAAGGTCGCCGGATTATGTGCTTGAACGGGAGTTTGGCAGGAGAGAATCAAGTTGAGATCAACTGCCCCGTTTCCCCTGTTAGCCGAGAATGTGCAGTCTAAAACGGTAGAGTTCCCCAAAACATCAAAACTGTTATCACTGAGAATCTCAAAGTTGTTTTTGTTGAGTTAGAATTGTATTTTCCAGACAAACCTGTACAGGTCATGCGGTACACAGAACCATTCCGCACTGAAATCTGTCCTATGGGGAAGCAAGTGAGGAACTAGCAAAACTGAAAGCTTCGAATGCGACGAACTTTCATTTTAGAAATAAGAAGGGCTTTCCGAGGATCTAGTTGTCTCTTTGCGATTCTTACCCATTCCATAAAGCGTCTTTACTATTCGCTCAATTTATCACAACCTATTTTTGCAAATATGTTTTTCTGATCCTAATACTATTTAAATTACTGTCGAAAACATAAAGAAGAGAAATATGCATTGCAACGTAAACTCGGACAATTAAACTATGTGAATATGACTTTTTCATCCTGATAGAAATTAAGGGCAAAAAAAAACGAAAAAGTGTTTTCGAATTGACAACAAAACCACTGGTGTAGAAAGTGGGGTTAGATTCCGAAATAGGACAATTCTCCACTCTCGATAGATTTTCATTTATGATTTCGTTTCCTATTTATTTCATCATACCTTGCGTTCAACCTCATTACCACTATAACCCCGTTGGCGGCTACGTCACTTTCATAATTTCTCAAACTATTTTCCACAGCAAAAGCACTTACACTTGAGTTCATTCATTCAGTTGAAGTGATGAATACCCCGTCTCATGGTTTTATGAATCTGATGAATCTTGACTCTCTTAACACAGTCGGAGGATGCCAAATAGAGTCGTGGTAGAGAAAACGCAAAATACAATAGTTTGATAGAGAATACAAAATAGATAGAATCAGATAGAATTGAATAACGCCAATTTTATAATAATAAATAGTGAACATTTATCCACTTAGGTAGCTAGCGAGATAAAGATCACTTCAATTGTCCCGTTGGAGGGCATTAGGAGCCCAAAGGGACATTTTGTCCAATAAAAATATATCTAAATGATATCACGCTGGTATAATTCGCTCCGACGACGGAAAATCCCGCCGAAAGCATTTCATGTGAACATCATGGTTCACAGGTAGCCCCTGTACTTTTGGTCATTTTGTAGCACCCGGGACAAAATCCTACGGAGTCACTCAAATTACATTTCTAAAATCCTTTAGAATTTTAGATTTGGCATCTAAGATGGAGTACGTAGGCGAATCTTTTTCATATCGATAGAAAGTAATTTTTCCTCTCCGAAATCAGCATAAAAGACCAGATAAATTAGAAAACTTGTTCAAAGCACTCGTGCGTGCATTTTGGATCTTGTCTATCTTGCAGTCCTCACACTGATACCTCCGGCTTGTACGTCGACGTACAAAGAAGTAACTGTGCCCAATTTTCAGTTGATGTGTTTTCTTTTTCCAAATTTTCCAATCTCAAAATATCAGCGGTTGTAGAGTGGAAAATCCGATTACGACATTTCGAATTCAGTCCCGATTCAATCTCGGCTGTAGTGACTAGGTTGGAGCGGCAGGATTTTATTCAAGCTACAAGCCTGTATCGCGTCAGAATTTTTTGCAAATTAATACAGGTCCTTCGAGCTATGCTGGACACTCTTGTTGATCAAGCTCGCAGGCACCAAGCGCGTGTTTCAGCGGCAATTGGTCTAGCCATATTTTTTGTAGTGTACTCGTCACTTGAGCAGAAGTTGCTTGTTCACCAACTAACTAGACAGCAAAGTGATAACGTTTTAGAAATACTTTAGCAAAATGAAGTATTTGCGCAGTTACTGGCGGTATTGCAAATGCTACGAAGTAATACGTTTCCATAACTCCTGTTAGTAATATATACATATATATTGTTGTAAATGGATAAGGCAGTGAAGAAACAAATTACTCAGACACTAAAATGAATTTGCTACAAACACGATGAAACATTCGTTTGAGTAACTTCACAAGTCTAAAAATGTTATCTAAGAACTCACTTTTATTTAGCACTAAATACTAATCACTTCCACCTAGAGTTTTTTAAAATTATAAAAAAAATTGTGTTTTGAATAAGCTAGTAATATATATATATATAACAGTTAAATATGAATTTGAGGTCATGTCAACGGTGGAGTAATCATAAGGTATTATGTTGAAAATCGAACGTTTCATTTCGGAACGCATATTTCATGTTTTGAACAGTTAGTCACCGCGGTTTGAAGCGATTGTTCGACAGTAGTTTTTTCATTATAGATAGGCTGTGACTAATCAGCCATTTCATCGTACAGTCATGATTTGTGATGATATGAGAGTGCTTGCTCGTGTCCGCCTGGCTTGTTTGAAGGAAGTCGTTAGAAGCTATTCTTCGCGAGTTTATATACACATATATATGTAGGTAGAAAGTCTTCATATATGAAAGGAAATTGCTCATTAAAGTCGCCACTGTTTTAACACCAACTTTGACATGAATATGAGAACTGAGGTTGGGTTGTAACTATTTTATTTGTTGAAACTATTGTGTGAAATTATTCAGCAAATACAGTGAATGATATAACAGATGATATGAAGCAGTATGACATAGATCCTCCGACACATATTCGACTGTGAACAAAATTGATTCATAAATTGGTATTTAAAAATTATTACGTAATAGTAGCAGCACTAAATCACCAATCATTGTTTTTAGTATAATATAGTCTGGAAAAAAGTGTTATATATATAAAATCTCGAAATTAAAATGTTTTTCTCCAAATCTCGTGATGAATTTCTTATCAAAAGAAATGTAGAAATTGGATCTTCTAAATGGGTAAGTTTTTTTCAATATAATATGTTAATATTATGCTTATTAACAAAAGGTGGTTCGGGAAATAACCGCCATCCTCATTCTGTTTTGCTTTAATTCTTCTAACGAGATTACAACCATTTTGTAATGTGTTGTTTTGGTGTTACAGTTTTGATGCCCACTCTGTGACAGCTAATGCTTGCAGTATTCTATTTTTCCTGGGAACCACTCTTTTGGTCCTCTATGTATAATTTATGTTACAATTTGTCCGGAATTAATGAAATCTTTAGGAATTCGCTTATGAAATTTTGGAATTAAGCACTATTTCCATCATATTGTGAATTACTCCGTTATGTAAATTATTTTTATTTCAGCAAAATCATAAAACAAATACATAACACTGTCATCTGAAGCCTATTTCCCACATTTAAAAAATGCGATTTCCATTTGCCTCGCTTGGACCGACTTTAAATATAGTGGCGCTTCATATATATAAAAAATTTAAATATAATAGAGTTATGTATATAGATCCTTTGCGACTGATGAAATTGCCGGTTGATAGATCAAACGCACCTATTATACTCGTTATTATAATTTCACCCAATCATCTTTTCTCAGCTTCGGTCGCCCGAATTCCCATTTTTGACAATATAATATTACTTGTTACTGGGCTGTCTATACGAACGATTCGTTGATATCATTTTTGACTCACAACACGAATAAACATTCCAGATCTTCTTTCGTCTACTTTTTAGACGGAAGCAAACCAGTAATATAAATTGGCAGCCCAATAACAAAAGCTATTATAAGTTGAACGAATCTTTAATGAATTTTTGCTAGGTATCGTGATTTTTTGGCAATATTCACGTAATAGTGTCACTGCAAACTTTGAAAATATTTTCAACATTCTAAACATAAACAACATATGGCGTGGCAATAGCGGTCATATAAATACATATGGTAAATTCTACCAGGAAATAAGATGAGATAATATATTGGCTGCGTCACGATGACTTGTAAATTTACACAATGCAATCATCGACGCTCTTTAGGTTTATGAAGGGACAAATATATGAGAAAACTTTTTCTTACAAGTTAGATTCAATCGGGATTTCTTATATATATGGACATATGCTGCAACTAAATAATCATAAGATATATACCAGCATTTTAACTCGAGAATGACGAGTTTGACCGGATCGTGGGTATTCTGAATCACAAAAAAGGTTTTTCTTGAATAGTAGTCATTTCAAATTTTGTTATCCACAAAAAAGAGACATTTCGATTCAGAAATTAGCGTGACGATATCAATTATTTATCTTTTGAAAAAACATATACATCCAAATTTCAGAAAATCAAATTATTTTCTGGGAAGATCATCTACGTATTATTGTTGATTTTCTACATTCCGTTTTTCATACTAAGTGTCAGTACGTGGGTTAAACTCATTTTATCAAACAAAATCAAGATATTCGTGAATCGCGATAAACAAAATGGAAGAGGAAAACTGGGCATAGCCAGCAGGCGACATAAGGTTAGAATATTGTTTGGGACATAAGATCTGAAAATGTGAATAATGAACTGCAATATTTTTCTATTTGTAGATATATATTGGATTGAAATCTTTTTTGTTCTGAAATTATTTCAGTAAGAAGACGAAAACATTTATCTTTACATTTCAAATTATCACATATTTTCTATCATTGGATTTGAATTTTAGTCAAATTAGTTTGTTTAAAAAATAAAATTCCATTATATCATGGCTCAAATTGAACCGAAATCTCGAATATAATTTGTATATTACAGGCAGTACACATCCTGTGTAGCTATCAATTCTTTTTTTTAAAGCGTTGACCGTATGGCTTGTTTTAGAGGAAGTCCTTCAAATTGACATCCTCTTTCTTAATTGCATTCGTCGTTTCCTCTTAGGTTTATATTATTTGCGTATTAATCTATACGTGCCACAACGCAACTAGTATCGATAACATCTTCTTTGCTAGTCATACAGCCTATTCATTTTCAATTTGTATTTTCGTGCTTTTCGCTTATATTTTATTTCTGCAGATCACAGATATGACAGCAGTAGATCCAAAAGATGAGCTCGATTTTCTTGTAAATAGAAGCTTTGCATATATTTGGAGGATGTGTTTCTGGACTCCCCAGGAACTAACTCTTTTTTTACTCAAGTAATAAAGTACTATTTGTTCTTCAGTATACTATAAGACAAAAATATTTTGTTTATTATTTTCTCATCTAAAGAAAATTTAAACGATTATTGAAAACACTTAAAAGAATTCAATCGTTAAAAAAATCAAAATATTGATTTTTGACAAATTATTTGTAATTTCAACACAAAATTGTTAATTTATTTCTGTCCAAAGAGAACAAAAAATCAAGCTTATATCAGATGGTCAACTGGCTTACGTCGTTTTATGCACTGTTTTCGGACATTCAGTACGATGGGATGAAGAAAGGAATATGTTCAGACTGAGAATGGATGGATTAGAAGACATACAACTGTTTGAGGTAAATACTTCTGAATTAGTATCTCGTATTCTGACACAATCAAAGTTTTTACAATTTCAAGCTGTTGTATTCTTTTTTAAAATAGTTACAAATAATTTTCGCTTGCATGGCAATTTATGTGATGTTATCTTAGCTCACAAAGGCGAACAGTTCATCAAAACGAAACAGTCGCCTAATAAATTATGGGAGTATTTTATTTGCACAGGGCTTCTGCTGGGATGCAAGAGAGATTTTTGTGAGCGAAGACTGCAAGAAGATCATCATAAAGATGAACGAAGAGGACGAGTATCATTCCGATTGTCATCCTGACGAGCGACATAACTTTGATCTTGCGAAATTGCATGCTCAGGTACATGTTTGAAATGATTATATGTTATGTATCCAAACAATTATGCCAAGCATTTGTTTTTCTGTTACTCGCCAATGGAATGTTTGGAAAGGCAAACAAATCGAAGGAATATACATCAAAAACTCATTTACCAAATGTTAATCATTTTCTTTTAGGTTTGCTTATCCTTCATGGGCCCAGGACTTTCTCACAATGATGTACATTTCATTTTCCCAAGCACAATGGCAGTTATGTCGAAACAACATCTAGATCATAATGGAGTTCTGTTCAAACTTTTGTCTCCGCATTTTCGATTTACTGAGAGAATTAATTTTCAGGTATCCGTCGTAAAATTTTTAATTTAAAATCGCCACATAATGAATTTTCATTTGGGCAATTTTTTTGGTCACTAAGTATGAAATTAGAAAACAATTGGCCGATTTATTCAATATTCAGCTACAGTTTTTCTTTGAAAAGTATTCCCTTTTCTCGCTTTAAAATAGAATTATAAACAGAGATTTGAGAATGTTTTCTCTACGATTAGATCATAGCCTACCAAGATAATTACACAATGAATAGGTTTATGTCAATGAGTTAACGAGATCTTGAAACAAAGGATCTAACATGTAAGGTTAACATAATTTTGCCAAAATATGAGAAAGTTAAACCTAATCACTTCATCTGGTGGAATTTTAAAGGCTCTCCGAGTACAAAAAGCGACGAATAATAAAAGATCATTAGATCGACTCTTCTTTCATTGGCAACCATTTCCAGTGACCAAGGAGATATTCCGTGACGCTATTGCGAAGAAATGCAAAGAATACTACTTAGTCGAAGGAGCGAAAGAATGCGAAGCTACAGAAGAAATCATATCTTCTGACGAAAATGATGCGAGATATGAAAATGGAGATTCCGATAATACAACAGAGGTAATTGATGTGAAGCACCAAATGTTCGGGTGAATGTATTATATCGTTCGATTATATTTCCAATGTTTTCTTTTCTAGTCGTTGAACCGTGAGAAAGGGAAAAAATCTAGCAAAAGAACACACATGATTTTTCCTCCTGATTTTGTCACGGATAAGAGCCGTCGAAAGGTAAGACATCGATTTTTTGCATTTTTCAAAATCATTCCACAGACCCCGGTATGAATACAACCCACGTGGAATACGAAAATTCATTGTATGATAACTATTCAAACTGGCCTACTTAATACCGACCGAGCCAAAATAGCCGATATTGCTAATGTTAATAACCGACAAAATGTTGCCCTGACAATTTCCATCGATATTTAGAGTTCATTATTTTACACCCACGTTTTTGTTAGTACAGAACATCTTCGAAAAGTACGCAAACATAAATTAAGGCTGTTATCAATTAAATACTTCCATAATTATCATCTAAACTTATTGCAAAAAACGGGATGCAAAAATAAGATGGATTCTTATATTAAAACATTCAACACTTCATACTAGAATACAAGTACCTATGTGTATTTTTATTAATTTATATGATTAATATTTCAGGTGCCATACCTCAATTTTCTTTACCAATACTACAAAGTCATCCGACGTTATGTTCAAGACTTGTCACCTTTTATTGACAGGTAAAGTTACATAGAATATAGAATAAAAGTATTTATTAGTAATAATAATGAATTCGTGAAAAAATATTTATTCCATAATCAGGGAGGAATGGAAAAAATTCAGCTCAGAAGTTGCAAACTATGTTCCGAGATTTGACAAAGTTGAAATGGTAGAGGCAATTACTTCGTTCATTTTAAAGGTAATGTAGGTATCGTTTATGACCCCACAAATAAATGTTGCAAATATTAACAATGCACGTCAGGAACAAATATTTTATTTGCTTGCTAGTTGCTGCGAATCCAACCCATGTGAAATATCCAGAAGACCTATATCACGTATGCGTGGATCACATCATTTAACAAAAGGAGTATTGCGATGTTCGATAAGCGATTTGTGACAAACGACATTAACCTCGGTTTAAAAACACTACGACGATAATTGTTGGTGTGGTCATTACACAAAGTTCTACCCTGTAGACAAAACAATTAAAGTCCTGACAACGATAACCCATGATAATGTTCTTTTCTGTAAACATATTTACAAGTAACATCGACAGTAGGTGTAAAGTTCCCCGTGTTTCCCCGTCATCCTATTTTAAATCCTATGAATGGAATTCGCTTATTATGAATTATACGTCTCCAAGCGAATTCCAATATTCTTTGCTTAATCATTTTTACCTTTTACAAAATTGTTGGATAAATTTGCCGAACCTTCATTCGTGCTATATATGCTTCAACTTGCAAAGTATCTACTACTTTCACTGAACAATGATAGCATTAAAGTACTGATTTTGCAAAATTTATTTTTATACAGGTTGGAGTAGTGCATTACTGTGATCATGGCAGCTACACTCGTTATTTTGCCTACCCATACGCTTGCATGTCTATGAGAGCTCCGTTTGGAACCCTAGAAAACGAAGAAACTTGGAGTGAAATTGAAACTGATCTGAAAATCACTCGGGATGCTGTAAAATTGAGTCCATTGGCTCTTATACAATCACAGGATGTCTTGCGAACAAGGTAAAGTAATAGTTGGTATATATATTGATAGTTGGACCATCTTGTGGTCACGACTAACGACAGCGAAACAGTCGGACTTATAGAAGCAAACATGCCATCTGACCTTGCCGAGTAAATTTCAGCAGTGGCGGAATCATCTTGGGAATTGTGATAATACCCTTCTTAACTAACTACAAACAGTCCAAAATAAAGCTATTCGGGCAATCTGTGAGGGTGTCCCGCTGGGCTAATCTTAGTAGTTACTACAAAATCCTTGGTACTCTTGAAATAAAAAATCTATATTTTTATGAAATGGGAAGGCTCTTGTATCAAGCGGTAAATGACACTGTCCGTTCGACCTCCTATCAATTTCGTTGTTAGTCGTTTATTTTACTTAATGAGGGTTATTATTTGTGTTTTTTCTTTGATTTGTTGCTAATGACTGGATGATAAATAAACTTCTATCTATCCATCTATCTATCTTGTATAAAACTGTTACTATGAACTTGATAACGTGTTTATAATAAAATCATCTAAATATTAATTCACTAAAAAAATTATTTTTCTAACCTAAAAATTAACTTGATAAAAATCGGTAAAAACCGGTATCTTCCCAGCGTTCAGCCTAATACACCAGCCAACTGACAATTTTAGTTCATATTCAACCCATAATATTCTTCTATGTACTTCAATTTCTAAGGAGCTTTCTCAACATATTTGTGGACTTTGTTGGAAATCCAGATTGTGATTTATTCCTACCTGGCACTGATTATGGATTCCAGAAACCTGGACCGCAAATGGCGGAAAAAGTTTTTAAAAAAAGATTGAGAGAATTGGACGACAAATTACGGGTTTGTTCCATTGATTTATGTGTATAGCTTTACATGAGTATGGTGGCCCATCGTTGTCACTCGTAAAATTGAAAAAAATTTTCTCAAAATAAAAACGCGTGACAACGATGGGCCACGAGGCGGACCATCGTTGTCAACCTTTTTGTTTTATTTTTATTCAAATTTTTTTTTTTTTTACTTTTTTTTTCGTTTTTATTTTATTTTCGTTTTTATTTTTAATTTTTTTTTTACATTTTTATTTTTTTTTTCATGTTTTTTCATCACTATTTTTTTTATTTTACTTTTATTTTCATTTTAGTTTTAAATTTTTTTTAAATTTTACGCGTGACAACGATGGGCCACCATACATGAGTATCGTTCCATTACATTTGAATCCACGTACATTTGAACCCATACTAATCCTAATCCATGGGTTTCAGCACCCGCATATAAATTGAACCCGCGGATATACACATGGGTTCAAATGTACGGTCACCCATGAGTATATGCAAGTGTTCACTACCTAATACATGAAGAAATTTTGGGGTTCATTATTGTAATATTATGTTATACTGAAGTTAGAATGCTTCTTGGTATGGGTCAAATCATAAACAACAACAAACTTGAAGTTGAATTTATATATTTGCAGGCGCAATCGAATATCGTGTCTTTTCTGGAGCCTGAATTTGGTGAAGTACGAGCTACAGGAATGCAGATCGAACCTTTGGATGAAATTGTCAGATCTGTCTGCTTTTAAGCCTGTATAAATCGTGATTCATTGAAGACTTTTGTATATATAAAAACATTATCGTATAGTCAATTAGTGTGTTTTCTTTTTCTGGATATATTTTGAGTAATAGCAAATAGGAGAGACTTTACTTGGATTTCGAAGTAAATTTGAGCACAAAAAAATGGGGTAAAAGTGACATTAACTTTTTTAACATCCAATGTTATTAATTACGCGCGTAAAATATTTTAGTCATTAATATTATTTACTCATATTGTTTTTATTGAATATTATTACTCATAGTTATTTTTCAATTCCAATGAACTATGTAACAATTATTCGACAATGAAACAATTATTTCACTTTTTCACATCATTCCTGTTTATTTATCACTTAAAATATATGAAAGTAATGATTTATGTCCGAGGAAATGAACTGGAACAAGGTGGTAAAGGCATCATGAAATATTAGCATTGAAATTTTTGTCACACAAATATATCTTTACGTGCGCTATGTCATACGCAACGGCTGAAATTTACCAAGTTGGCATTCTGAGTAAAAGATCTCACTTTTAAACCCCATATCCACCGCTTAACTTGAAATGAAAACATGCGTTATAGGTCCTACAGACATTGATTGTGTGGACTCTTATGTGGAACGAATCTATGAAATACTGTGGCACCTTATTTAATTCTATTTTGCCAAACTATATTTTGGGTGGTGTTAGATAGATGGAAGCATAATTTTCGGAAACATTATCTGGTACTATTGGTTAGTTTCAGTTTATCTGATTTTTTTTGCTAGTGTATAGCTGATGGAATAAAGTAATGTCTCGCGCATAAACTAACAACAAAAAACACATGCTCCCCCTGCCGCCGACATCATTGTGACGGAACAATAGCTATTTCTACCCATGTATTGGTATCTTCGGTTACATCACAGGGATTCTTTCTATAATCTTGCGCGAGATTAACTTCCTCTTTATGAATTCTTTTTTGCGCTTCTGGTTTCAACCGTTCAATACGATGGGGTTCGACGGAGCTTGGAGAATAGCGCAGGAGTTCGGAAAGCTCTCAAAGATTAAGAACCACTGTGCTAAGAGATTCCCAAAGCTGCTGAACAACTATGCAATCATAGAAAATTTGGTTTCAACATTAGATTTACGGAAATCACATACCTCTGATGAAACAAGTTTGAATTTATGTAATCTATCGTTTAGTATTATGGCACCATGGAACATCTTCGCATGAAAAGCTCGCAACTTAGTTTTAATAGTGTAATAAAAAATATCCATATATATTTTATTTCAAAAAAAATCATTCTCTACAAAAATTAGATCGGCTCATTTTTTTCTTGGTATATCAGGGCCTTTTTAATGTTGACAATGATCTATATTTCATTATGCGGAACAAGGAAGTAATTACAAAAGCCATTATGATTTCATTTATCGTGAAATGCAATACAATTTATATTAGGTTCAGATTTGCAAACCTGTCTGATTTTTATAATAGAGAAGAGCGCGATAACAACATTTCCCCTCAACTAAATTCCAAGCAGATATTTTACTCACACCCTAATTCGTTTACAAAACCTTTGAACCAGTGTCGGCCAATAATCGAAAAACCGTTTGCTTGACTATAAACAAACGGTAGATATATGTATATATTTTTTTCGAAAAATGCCGAAAAAACCTTATATATATATATATATAAATAATTCGAGAACATTATTATTGTGGTTTAAATGAATGTATTTAATTTCACAAATGAATCTGATTAAATCGCGCTAATACTTTGCACACTCGATTTCTATTTTCAGAAATATAAAAAGATAATTAATTAACACTGTGTGGTTATTTCCGCAAAGCTCTTCATATTACGCACAGAAAAAATTAATCAAGGTTATTGAAATAAGTTGCGGGTGGTTAGAATTATTGGAGGTATTGAGAGCGCATGATATTTTTTTTTAATGCTAATGGTATCGTTGAAAATAAAAATAACCTTGCTTTATGAAAAAAACGCATAGATTTGTTAACATTTTAACGACAGGCATTTAGCATTCCAATAGAAGATTATGTTGCGTGCCATTTAACGAGTTTGCGCTATAGATATATGAGGTTCGTCTACGAACTAGATGATTACGGTTGACGGGATACCAATTTCCGAAAAATGATCCGTCTCTAAGCCCTATTATCTAAATGTCTAAATAATGGCATAACCAAAACCCCAGAAAGCTTTTGAGAGAATTACCTTGCTAGAAACTAAGGCTATTCATTGAAAATAGCCAAAGAATGATATAAGTGAATAAAAGGTAGATTTAACGGGGATTGGTCGCTGCCCTTGAAAGTTACTTCAGTGGTAGTCAGATAATAGAAGAAAGTACCCATTTGAGTACTTTTGATTAAAAAGTTTGATTGAAAGTTTTGATTGAAAAATCACTATCAAAGTTCTAAATTGAGCTGTGACCTCCCACGAAGTGTTTGTATAAGAGTGTACAAACAGCAATCTTCAAATCGTAGAATTTATGTCTGATTCTCATTTTAAATTACATACAATTTTAGATCTAAATTTTCATAGTTTTGGTGAAATACACTTTATTTAACTTTTTAGCGGTCATAGATTTAGTTCTAAGATAGGTTATTTTCAATAATTGCCATCTCAGATAGCATTACTCCGAGATTATGCAAAATGGTCTAAATTCATGCCCATCAATATTTGATAATTTGTTATTTCAAATTTATAACCTTTCTAGTATATACAAGTGCACTACTTACGTATAATCTTCGAAAGTGAATCTTTAGAATCTAGATGAAAATACCGATAATGTTGTTTACAAACAATGTTGATCAGCAGAGTACTTTTAAATTTCAGTTGAGAGTTAATTTACAGCAAACCTTATCATTTACATATTCACGATTTAAATATTGATGGCGGAAGAATTTCTTTTTCCATCTTCGTCAGCGGATCCTGATAATGATGAAAATAATTCATTCATTGATGAAGGGCAGGGTGAAATAGATGGAAAAGTGTCCAGTGAAGAAAAACGAGATGAGAATACTTTTAAAGCAGGAATATTAAGTGATATTCCAGAAGCATACGGGGAATCCATACAACTTGTGAGTATATTCAGCTTATCTTTTGTTATTGATCAGCTTTTAAATGACTTGTAAAATGGATAACTATATTATCCATCTAACTATATTTTGCACTTTAAGCGCAGTATTTTCCAGTAATTTTATTAAAAATCTTCACAAATTGAACGGGTACTTGGACACTAGGACACTGTCTAGGTTTGTTGTTCGTTGGAGATGAAGTCAAAAAATTTTGTTTTTGTGGGATATCAATGAAATTGAAACAGCTATTACATGATAGTAAATTTGAGACAACATTGATGTTTGAATTTAGCTGACTGTAATAAATAGAAAGTATTTTAGTTGTCAGATTCTTGATGAGGTTGTTTGATTGTTTGAGAGATACTATCTAAATCTAGCCCGTCTGATTTCATGAGTTCACATCACCTTTTCATGACTTAAGTAATATGTAATGTATCACGTATGGGCATACAGCTAAAGTTGCTATTAGCATGACTTCCTTTCTAGCGTGTTGTTGGGTTGCACTATAGACATAGCATATTTTCATTAGGCATTATTATATTTTAGGCATGGAAATCGAAACTTAGTTTCATTACTTTCGGTTATCAATAATTAGGATATGACTCTTCTAAAGACTTACTGCGAATAAATAACATATTGCATTCGAAAAGAATACAATTAAAGATCGGTGCCAATTGATCAGTGGCGGAGGTCTGGCAAATTAATATTGTTAATAATTAATAATTGTTGTCGTTGCCGATAGTAAAATGCCAATACCGCACGTTCTCTCCAAAACCAGTCGAACATGAGCTATAGCATACCTAATGGCTTCAAATGACAATATTTTACTAACTGAGATTGAGGTTGTAACGTTTAAACTAGCAACTTCAACTGATGTACAACTATGGTAATGTGTGAGTGCAGTGGCCTAATGGATAAAACATTATATTCGTCTATGATGACACTGCAGGTTAAAATTCCCGGCGGCAAATACCGTGCCCACAATCTAATCCGGATACACCTAGCTGGTGAAGCCGAACCAGAATTTTTTTTTTGGCTACAGTGCTCAAGTGAAAAGAGTATAAGCGTCTATTCAAGTGTTATTTTGGCATGTGAACAATTGAATAACATAGCACATTATAGGTATAATAAACTCGGGTTTCCATATAAACGTGTATTTTATATTTATCATTATCATTAATTAAGATAGTCGAAACATTGTGAAGTATTGTGAAACGCGTAAAAAAACGTAAAAAAGTTTGTTTAATATCCTTTTGACACTATTTACCAATGAGACAACACAATGATAAAATTCAGAAATGCGTTATATATGCATTGAAGCGCGACTTGTTTCATGTGTGGCGCTTATAAAATAGTAACCCGGTAATCATCGACAGTTGAAGTGTCTACACTTAAATGCAAATATTTTGCGGAGTTTTTTCTTAACATGACTCAGTTCCTAACTTCCAACATCGTGATTTTAGGTCGAACAATAAAATGACGTCATGAAAAAAAGACTTCTGCCGCTAACATTATACGATATAAGCAAGTATCGTCAATCATGTTATGCATAAATTACTAGAATGTGGTCAGGAGTTATTCATCATACACGAGAAGTTGGTTTAAAATTGACAGCTACAATTAGATACTTTTAAGAAGATTTTCTATTTTGCTCGTCTTATTTTATCCTGTGTACCATGAAAAATATAGTAAGCCAATTGATAATGAATTTGTAATCAGCATAAAAGAAGCCAGTTGTCACACGCGATGTTGACATTTTTATACAAGATACCTGATTTCGCTCATTAAAATTATTGGCGCTACCATAGTATGTGAACCAAGATGGCGGACACCGGAACATAGTATGTGTACCAGGTAAGAGTTACGACATAATTTTATTCCATTTTTTCTCATTTTAGTTCTATTACGAGTTCGGGGGCTAGCCAAGTGACTTCCGTAGTATTTGTAGATGAAACTATGGCCGAACCCTAACTTGGTACACATACTATGTTCCGGTGTCCGACATCTTGGTTCACATTCTACATTAGCACCAAATTATGAGTCTCGGAGGAAAGAAGGCAATAGGTTAGATAATTGTGTTTATTGTTTTGTGTTCAAGTTTGCCCAATAGAAGATCCCATGCCTCAAGGGAAATTTGAAACAGTTGAAGTAAAAGAGTAATAAGCGAATACATACGAATCAATATTTAAATTTATAAGATACACCTCGCGGCAAATATCGAAAATTACGTCGCTCTAGTTTGCCAGATTACCGGTACGTTGTGACTATATTTGTGTTTTTTGTTATTGTTTATAAGATTGGATCGATCGACTTTTTGATTATGGCAATAAAGAAATACGTTCAAATGGCGTAGGAATGCGATTTAGATCAATCACCAAATTAATTTTTCACGATCGCACACCTTGTTTAAAATTTCATGGCGCTTCGTGACATATATAAACCTTAATCGAACTCTGCTGGCTGGTACAATGCTTACAAATTCATTGAAAAGTGACCTGTAATATCGACAATTCAGCTTCATGCGGTGTTCCACATAGAGAAGTTAAAACTACCAGGATTGGATAATGTTCTTATACAGTTATATATGTAATATGTTAACTTTCAACCAACTAATGAGGTCATAGGTGACTGTTTCATACACACTCATGCACATATCATCACTTCAATCATAGATAAGAAATATAGGTACACGAAATAAAAAAAATAATTGCTTTTACCTTGTTCGCAAATTCAGATCATATCATCTTGCACTATATATGAAATTCCGAAATAAATATTTTATATGTGTAGAGCAATAAAAGGCAAATTATGAACTTTCACAAATATTATATTTTGGGTATCGATTCGGTTTGTCGGTGTATATATTTGTCAGAATTATGACTGCAAGATTTTTCGGCGAAATTCAAAAGTCCTTCTGTTTATAGATTTATGTTCGTGAGATTTTCAAAATTAATACATAACAAATTCAAATACACAACTGAGAAACTAAAAAGGAAAGATATTTGTCACAAACTACCCTGTATACTTTCAGTCGCAGAAGAATGGATAGTAATTTGCGTGGCCGTTTTTGAGCAGAGGGATTACGGTTTTTGCCCGTTTTCGCAAGGTTTTTGGTGACTTTTCACTGTTTTGGCACGTTTTACAAGGTGTTTGGTGGTTTTTGACGATTTTTCACTGTTTTTGCGAGGTTTTAGATATTTTTTGACTATTTTTTACGGTGTTTGCCCGTTTTCGCAAGATTTTTCACTGTTTTTGCACGTTTTACAAGGGTTTTGTGTTTTTTGATCTTACTGTCTTGCACGTTTTACAAGGTTTTTGACGGGTTTTCACTGTTTTTGCGAGGTTTTTGACAATTTTTGACACAGTACACAAAAATGTGTAGATATTCGAAATATGTAGTGGAATTTTAATTATTATATTTTCTAGATATATTTTCTTTGTTATCAAGATGTTTTACACATACGCGTTAGTTTTAAATGCATGTTATGGAAATACGAGAGGGTTGATATCAGATTATTAGAATTATTGCATAAGATAAACAACAACAATTTTTGTTTTGATATTTTAACTATATTACTCCTTACTGCAAGCATGAATATGAAGAATATTGAATATTGTAAGGATATTTTTCGTTCACACCGCAAAAGTTCAATAAAGGTTTATAAACTTTATATGCTTCATGAAATTCACGAAGTGTGTCAGACGTTCGTTAATTGTTGACTTTGGTAAATATGATTTGACTAATTTCCTTCCTTCAAAGCCGTTGCATAATGATGATGACCAATGCAATCATGCTTTTGGCAAATCTTGCAATCCCGATGATTATGACACATAGATGAAGTTTTTATTAGTCATGAATCACTTGAAATACTCTTGAAATACCTGAATCTAATATGTTTTATTTGTTCTTCTATCTGGGCTAGGCTGATACGTGGCCTCGCGTATTATTTGAAATTTCTTGTAGTGTAAGTTAAAGTTATAAAATGGTGAGAAGACACCAAGACATGGATGATGACGCTAAAAGAAGTTGCGGTTGCGTCCTGCGTCACGTTTCTCCAATACGACATTACATGAAAAGCCCACTTTGTTTATTAAACTCAACGGTAAGTATATATCATCATGATCAAATTTTCATCTAAATATTACAGGTTCTACACAGATTTTTTTTTTTTTTTGACTCTTGAAATAAGTTTGCGAAGTGCTTGTGAAATTTGACCTTCACTTCATTAGTTGTATCCCAGCTAATTGCAATTGTTAGAAAAATTAAAAGCGCGAGTCCGATGTAAAGTTAAGAGTACTTCATATTTGTGTGCCAATATGTTCATAAAACGTGGTTTAATATTCATTGCATATAATGCACGTAAAACCTCATTTTGACTCGCAGTAATCGCTTGGAATCATTGAATTCCTATACCGACTGAGTCGACCGAACGAGGTCGCGCAGTCGAACGCCAAAGGAATACAACTGACTTGTCACTGAATGCAACATTTAGTCTCCAACCCAATGGTTTCAAACCTTTTTCGATATATACCCCCCATTGCCTCTGAGATATTTTTATTTCTATTACACTATGCAAAACCATGTTTCCGTTATTCATTCAAGATCATTAGATAGTGTTACACAGCGCCGCCCGCACTCTGGCTTTTGCGCTGATGGAATATTTTATTTTATGTGCGGAATTATGCATTACAATATTACTAATATAGCCTAACACTAAAAGTTCCTGGTGAAAAATGTCTTCCGGGGTGGGAAACGTTGCTCTAATCATTCCTATTTTACAATTTTTATGGTACAATCAAGGATGGACGGTAGCAAGCGTGAAAAAATATGGGTAATCAAAAATAGGATGTGATAACGAACGCACACAAAACATACGGCGGATGCGTTAACTTAATGCCTAATGGGATGCAAGTTCATTATTGTTTCTATAGAATTCTATTTTATGATTGAATTTCATTGTTTTCTTGAATACCGTCAACCAGTCGTTTAGATAATTTCCTTTCCCGCTGTCTACAAAATGAGCGGGAATCAGGATCATAGATGATCATAAATGAGTCAAAACAGCCACAAACACGGAAACGAGATTTTCTCCATCCGCGTAACAACAATCAAACGATGCTGATAAGCATATTCAAATCCTGAGGTTCCCCACTGAACTAGGTGTTTTACTGAATTTATCGATTATCTACATGCAAATTGTAGTAATTAGTGATATTTGTAAAAACTATGTTTTGTTTTACCGAGTAGTTCACAATAAACATCTGCAGAACTTCAATATTTTAGATATGAACACAGCCCAAATTCTGATGTATGATAGTACTTATTAAATCAAGCAGAAGATTTCACAATAAGTCTTATACTTCTATACTACGACAACTAAACACTTATCGTCTTCCCGTAAGAGTAAAAATTCATAATCACGCTTTTCATCGTTTGTTTAACTTCAGTATATTTTGTGCAGAACTTTTCAAAGACAAATTTACTGTCAATACCTTAAATAGAAAACATAGCCTGGCTTTGCTGACTGTTTATGAGGCGTCCGCAAAGCACTACTGTCAATAAATTTAGTTGGCAATCGGTCGACAACGGTTGTGGATCAGATATTTAGTACTAAAACACAAACGAATTCTTATCATTGAAAGTTTTTTTTAGGCAAAGAAAATCATTGGATTCACCATATATTGCTTGCTAATGTTGATTTATGTTCCCTTCTACATTTTTGGAATGTTATTGATACAAAAAGGAATAGCAATGCTAAAACTAAGAAAAAGGCTTGGACTTTTTCATCGCAAAGAAGGCAGGCTGGGTCTTGTTAGTAGACGAAGCAGGGTTAGTGTCTCATAAAATTCTGAAATGTCCTATTGGAGTTGGTTGAATTGGTGGTTGATTTTCATTTGCAGTTTCATTTATCAAATGCATACATGTATGAACAAGACCACAACCCAGGCTCAGTGTATGAATCTTCTATTGGCGCTAATGCACCTATCGGTAGGATGCAGTATCTTATAACCGAAAATATAAACTACTCCGATAATAAATTAAGGTTTTTGTGAAAGATATGAAGTATTGGAAATATCATAAAGTTGCGAAAGATTATTTAATGCAATGATCTCTAATGCTATAATATTAATAACAATTCCAATGACCCAGAACACAAGCATGGTAATTGTTGATCTTCTTGTTTCGTATATCTCAGGTTACTGACATCGCTTGCGTTTCAATGGAAAATGAGCTGGACTTTTTATATAATCGAAGTCCAGCTTATATATGGAGAATGTGTTTTTCTATGCCCTGGGAGCTTGTAAAGACTATCCTAAGGTAATTTTCAACGTATTCAATAACAATAAATTCCATAGAATTAGATTATAATTTCGTTTCAAATAATCATTTTCAATTCAGACAAGAAAAAATTCAACTTATATCCGATGACCAACTTGCCTATGTAATTCTAAACACTGTATTTGCGCATTCTGTTTGCTGGGATGATGATCGAAAAATGTACAGACTTGTGATGGAAGGATTCGAAGACTTATTTCTCTTCCAGGTAAGGCCCAAACAAAGTGTGTAACTACAAAACATATACTCGCATATCTTCACTCAGAATAGGCTTCAGATAAACATCCTTTCACAAACGAGTTATACAGAGAATGAAAAGAAGGTAATATTTCGGTATCCAACCACCATGTAATGTATATGAAGTATAACTAATTTGTAAAAATTTTCTATTCTTTTTACAATTTATATATATATAGAGTATATGGTGGTGAATTATGCATTTAAAGTTGATAAACATACTCAGGGCTTCTACTGGGATGCCAGACATGTTCTTGTTAGTCCCGACGCAAAGAAAATCATCATTCAAATGAGCGATGGACAAGAATACAACTCCGATTGCGAGCAAAGACTTCGACCTACCTTCGATTTGGCTAAATTGCATGTACAGGTATTCCATTTACAAGGTTTCACTGTAACATTATTCTTCAAACAGTCTTGCTGAATTTTATGTTGTGTTCATTTCAGGTCTGTTTGTCGTATTTTGCTCCCGGTCTCTCGCACAATCACGTACATTTTGTTCTCCCCAGTGCAGTTGCAGTTTTGTCGCAGAAGTTACTGAACAGAAATGGAATTCTGTATAAATTACTATATCAACATTTCCGCTTTACCGAACGCATCAATTATCAGGTATTGAGTTTTTTGAATGTACAATCTTCAAAAATAATAAATCAGATGTAGTAATATTCACGGTAACGTGAACCTAATGCAGTACCTGAAAATATAGTATTACCTAGTAGAGATTTTGCGTTGACGAATTTAAATTTTAAATATACACTAGTCAAATATCGGCGTTTGAAAATAACTAAGTGTGTTAATACTAATTCAGAATTCGTTTGTTAATATGCAATGGCCCGACAGAAAAGTTTGCAAAAATGTTTGATTATTGAATATCATAAAACTAAAACACTATTGTCCTTCTCAGTTTAATTGTAGATGTTAACATGTTAGTAAACAAGAAGAGGAACTATGGATCGTTTTGTTTAATTGTTGTTGTTGTTGGTATGCTTATGCTGAATTATCAATATATACTTCAGAATCGAGGAGATGCTAGCCGAGACTATGGATCAGTCTGTGCATTTCAATAAAAAAAACTTGGCTTATTTTAGGCATTACGAGTGCAGAAGGCCACCAACAACAAAAGATCAGCTTTGGACAGGCTGTTCTTCTTCTGGCAGCCATTCCCACTCACTAAGGAGCAATTCTTGGAAGGCGTTGCGAGAAAATGTAAAAAGCATTATTTTGACAAAGGAATGCAAGAATGTAAGGAAAATGAAGAAGAAAAGGGGGAAATATCAAACATCATGTCTCAACTGAACACGTCGCCATGTAGAAGCGGGAAGGTTAGATAAAAGCTTAGTGATGGTAAATCTTCCAAATCTCTGTGATTCGTCGAATTCTATTTTAATTGCTGTTGGTAATATAATAATATATAATAATAATATATAAGCTATAAATGCATTGTATGGTCGTACATTTTTTGCTAGACGTGACTCCTTTACATCAGGCAAACCATGATTCATAGCCCCATACTCAATGAGGAAATGTGCGTTTGTGACTGTATTATGATATTGGTAAAGGCCATTAATTTTTATTCATCTATACAGTTTGGTTCGATGATAGAATGATTGAGTTCATCATTTGATTTGAGCTGAGTAATGATGATTCCGGTGCATTACAGTTTAAAACTTTTGTAATAAAACATCGAAGTTGCTCAATTGTTTCTACCTTAGTCTTTTGACGAAAACTATCCAATAAAATCAAACAATTCTATACTATAAAAATACGCCTAGTTCACAAGCCTGCAAATCATAAGTAAACGTTACGGAGTGACTATTTAGACCAAGCAGAAAAAGAGTTCGCCTTTTTAAACTTAGTAGCTTCCCATGCACAGATGGCTCTGTTTAGAGCAGACGTTTTAAGCCGGGGGCAATATCACTCTATTTAGATAATTTAGATGTGATCATAGCAGATTGAAACGTTGTTGAGACGTCCTCTGCTGTGTGATGAATCTGGTCACCGTACATTTGAACCCACGGACATTTGCATCAGTATATCCGCGAGTTCAATCTATATGAGGGTGCTAAAATCCATGGGTTAGTATGAGTTCAAATATCCGTAAAAAAAATTCATAGGTGCAATAGTATGCAGATGCAATTGTCGTGGGTTCAAATTACGGGTTCAAATGTAATGAAACCGATGAATCTTAATATGACCTCACTGCAGAGATGGCTGTCCTAAAAAATATTTTACTTGATAGCTTGACAGCATTCCAGAATTTCCACAAGTCGATGAATTAGAACCAAGAATACATCATCTGTTTCCTCCAGATTTTACAACCGATAGAAGACTCCAGAAGGTAATTTTTGATTAAAAGGTCATAAGAAATACATCAATCCGTATACATTTTCCTTTTTTTGACGTTTAGACGTTTTTGACGTTTAGCTTGAATGCACTCCAAAACACACGATATTTGCCTGTCAGAGTGTATTGTCTACTCACAGCATATTATGGGAATAGGCTTGACTCTATTTAGTATTTATTAGTTAAATCTCAGGTCATCAATTTCTTTGCTGCCAAATATTTTAGGTTGCAATAAAGCAATTGGTGGTTCTGAACGGAGAATTTTTTCAATTCGAGCAATTTGCTGTCTACTTACAAACAATATTTCCGCAATTTACGCTGTCACAGTGCAGAACTAAATTATCATAACTTCTAATACAATCCCATTGGGGCTCCCGAAGTATGCGAACCAAGATGGCGGACATCGGAACGTAACATGGTTAACAGGTTAGGGTTAGGCGATAATTTTTTTCGGATTTTCCTTATTTTATTCCTATTATCAGTTCGAAGACTAGCCAAGAGCCTCCCGTAGTATTTATACCTAACATTATGGCCTAACCCTAACCTAGTACACATATTACATTCCGATGTCCGCCATCTTGGTTCGCATACTTCGGGAGCCCCTCACATTGCTTTACTATTAGATCCCGTACCTGAATTTTCTGGCTCAATATTATTTCGTGATTCGAGATTTCGTCAAATCGATGATTCCTTTCATTGACGGGTGAGTAAATTTGATTAAAATTGTTCCTGTTGCAACTTTTTAAACTTACGATCCGAAAAGTTTCAATGTTGGCCTTCATTCAGCAAAACGATTGTCGGTCACAGGCCATATCGTCATAGTAAGTTCTAGGCAAAATTATCACAACTGTTGATGTCAATGATTTTATATGGCCCAATGGAAGCTATGAATGAATTTGATGAAACATTTCTTCATTTATTTTTAGGGATGAATGGAAACTTCTTAGTACTGAAGTTGCAAAGCACGTTCCCCGTTTTGATAAATGCTCTATGGTTGATGCTATTGCCACATACATTCATCAGGTTAATTAAAAGTATTTCACTGATAATTATGTTTGAATGAAACAATGTCATCAATGCCGTTGATTTTGATATTCAACCAGCAATTTAATAGCAAGTCAAATACGGTACTTCATTAAACTTCCCTTTTGAATTAGTGCTTTCGCATACCCCTGAAACATTGCATTTGAAACAATGAAATGAAGATAAAATCTTTGCAGAGCATGCATCAAATATGCCAATATGCGTCGTCAATAGGACTAGGATAATATAAACTGTACGAGGTGATCTGAAAGACTATTAGAGATTGAAATCATGGTTTCCAGTGGCAAATCAAACTAAACTAGCTACCAGCTATCTCTCTGTGCCTATTGAGAGTATGAAATTTAGCCAGGTTCTCGAGCGTTCGTATACTTAAATATACTTGAATAAAGCTTTCGAATAATCCCAATCTCGCTTGGGGAAACCAGGACAGTGGACCTGTTCAGTTACGTTAAATAGCTTTTTATCGTTTAAAATTGTAACATTTTTTTATGTGCTACAAATGATAATAATATCCATTAACATTAAATTTTCTTCCGACTAGGTCGGTGTCATTCACTTCTGCGATCACAACAGCTACCTACGATATTTTGCTTTCAGGTAAGCAATCTAGCAAAAATAAAAACAAGCGTGAAAATATATTATTCTCAAACAAAAACATTTTTATAGATACGGATCAATGGCGATCAGGGTTCCATTTGAGCCATTTGAAAATTTAGAAGATTGGGAAGAGTTTGCTTTGGAGCATAATTTTGATTTGAATGAAGTCAGAGGAAATCCACTTCTACTGATGAGACAGAGAGATGTGTTGCGAACAAGGTGTGTTGCATATATGTAACCTCCTTTACTCCTACCTTTCATGATCCAGAAAATAGATGTTACATTCCATACTCTATTCGATTACAAAATTAATAAAAATAAAATTAAATAGACATTAATTTTCATTATCATCGTATTTTTGCGAATCAATTCTTCTACAACATTGTAATTCCGTCCTGACTTCTATCCTCGTCCATAGTGTAATGGTGCGGAATCAGTATATATATATGGCCACAGTTAACAATTTGGAAGCTTTAATATATATATTACAGCTCTTACTATTTTGTTCGCAGATCATTCTTGCTTATTTTCGTTGATTTCATCCCAAGTGCGAAACTGAACTTACATCTGATAAATACTGATTATGAGTTTAGTGATACTGGACCGGAAATGGCTGCAGAAAACTTCCGACTGAAATTACGAGCACTAGATGGAAATTTGAAGGTGCGCAACAAACCTATTCTTGACATATTCTATTAATAAATAAAGAATAGAATAATATTCTATAAGCAAACTGTGTCAAAGTTTACTAACCGTTAGTAACAAACAGGCAGCATTCCCTAAAGTCAAAAACTCGTACCAATCATCATGTCAAATGATGCGACTTCATTTGAGAGTTTGAATATTTTATTTAAAATTTCCGGATTTTGTTTGGTTAATCCAACTATTTTAAAAATATATGTCACAGAATGCCTTATTCGTATAAAAATAGCTCATATGCATATATATATGATATATTCTACTCACACAAACACATACAGCACTCCTCAAAATAAAAGCAGGTCTTTGGCTTCAATGGATTGCAATTCATTATAATCTAATGTCTTGTTGTTTCCAAATTCCATATTAAACTGGCTGATAAGTTTTTCAACTCCAATACCAGCTTGATAATATCCCAACGTAATATTTATTTCAGTTACAAAGATCGGTACTGCCTATACTATCGTCACCAGGTGAACAAAGGGCAGAAGGCATGCGACTCGTACCCCTTGATGACATTGTAAGAACAGTGTGTTACTGAATCAACAGCACATAAATAAAATCATAATTCTGTTCGTTCAAAAAAAAAGAGTTATTTCAATGGCTGAAGATATTTGTTTTAAAGCTGTATTTTTATTGATATTTATTTTTTTTTCTCGTGAACAATCCTAGTTTTAGGTAAAAATTGATGTAATCAATCAGAATGATGAAATTATCATTCTCTAACATTTTGGTTTTATGTTATCCATGGAAAATATTCGAATGCACTGTATGCTTGTTTTAAAACAATTGTAACCATGTAATTATTTTATAACGATTATAAAGGATCACACCATATTGCAAATTTTTTGCATGTAATGAAAAGAAAAATATTTCCTTTAAAGACCGTCGTTGTCGCCATAAGCACTGTTTTATTACATTTAGCAAAGATTTTATTTGGCTCGGTAGAACTGAATGCATTTCAATACTGCCCCAAATGGATTGATTTACTTACGGGCCAGCTTCGATTATTATTGTCGAAGCTTGTATGCCAATGCCAATAGACATTTTTCATTTGATGATTTATATCAAAGTCTCAAAATGTATAGAGAAATTATGTGATCATCTTAGCGCAAGTTGTTGTTATGGTTCGTGTGCTCAAATTGTCTTACCGATGCATCAATCACGTGTAACTTACTTGGTATCTACAATAAGGGCTTTTACTGAACTTTCTATCGAAAAATTCTACGTAGATTGCAGTTAACTGGAAGGATTCTGAATGCAATCGACTTTGTTATTATATAAAAAAATAAAATTGCGAATGGAGATTTAAACATTTTATAATACTCAAGAAACTATTTTTTTCTTCTTTGAATATATGTTACAACAGGAACTAACCATTCTTTGTATTTATTTGGTGGTGTGGTTTATCAGAATCATTTCATCGTTGCATCACAGAGGGTAATCGGCGGTAGGCATCTTTTCAACTAGATGTGATGCAGATTGCTGAATAAATATTAATGAATAGATGATATATTTAAACTTCCAGTTGTGGGAATAAATAAATATTGAAATACTAAAACAAGATCACACACAGTCACAACAGTGTTAGAAATTTCATAATTACCATTAATTGATTAAAATATCAACATCAGAAAAAATGTTTTCCAATTTCAACATAGACTTGGACCAACCTAACTCTATTGAACAGCCCTACCTCAGTTGTGATGTTACTCACATTTGTAACTAACTACTCAGCATAAGAACCTCATTATATTTTCTCCAGCATTCACTGATTCAGCATTTGTTGTCTTCTTCTCCCTGAATTCGAGACTGAAAAAAAAACATAGATGACAGTAAGAAAAATATATAAAATAAAAATTATAAAACAATCTCAAATATTCAATACAATATTAAAATAGCGGTTCGAATTACTGTTATACTTATTTGTTGACAACAAGTAACATTCATATAAATTTTAAACAACCAAATCACTACGTTGGCAAAAAATAACTACATTTTCGAAAATGTTCTAATGGATCGTGTTGTACCAATACAGGCATCAAACCAACAAGCATATCAGATAATAGCGTTTCGGGTAATTTCATAACTGAATGAAGATAATCATGCATTGTAGACTCGACATCATTAGGTCAAATAACGAAATTTCTTTTCCATCATTATCCATCGAAAGTATCCATCATTCAAAAATTAGATCATTGAATTAAACTGATTTATTACATAAATTATTCTTTATGCAGTAAAATGAGAAATTTAGGTGAGGAGTGAGGTGTTAGCTTCAAACCGCTATTTAAAAACATATAAACTACATAAGGCTGTAGATAGTAACAGCTGGTACGCATCCAGTTACAACATTGTAGTATGATTGTAATCGAGCAAGTAAATCTGCTTAGAATGTCTCTGATTCGCTTTCATCATCACCGTTCTCGACAAAGATGTTCAAAAAGAATCTGGAAATAGGATTTTAAAATAAGAAAAATATGCTAGATAGTACCGTCAGAATCTAGAAAAGCAATGCTCAACTATATATACTCTATAGCAGGGGTCGGCAACCTACGGCCCGCGGGCCGGATCCGGCCCGCAGAGCAATATAATCCGGCCCGCGAAGCTTCACTAAATTATAGTAACAAATTATAGCTGTTTTGTCGATTATATTCTTTACGCAAAAGAATTTACGTGTAGACTACTTTATATTATAAAGTAACAAGTATATAATTCACAATTACTCGTTTAATGAGCCTATAATTTAATTATAATTCCGTTAACTAATCATCCAAATAGGATCACATCTGTCAATCTGTACCGCTAAGGTCGTTACTGAGCAGTGATGACATATGTACTTAAATTTCTCGTCCACTTAGTTTAGGATGAGAATGGCATTGAAAACAAAATACATTCTGATCTAAGAGATGTAGTATTGACTATTTTACAGTATTGATTTACTTTTTTATGCTAAATATATTAAGCCTGTTCCAATTCAGTGACATGTCAATCGCTAGAACAGGTATAAATTATCCTCACAATTTTGCCAACTGGTAACGTGTAAGAACGATAATGCAGTTTAGTTTCATTGGGTGTTTCACAATCTCTGTACAGTTGCAGATAAGCATGACAGCATGTAATATTCAAACTTTAATGTCAGGAAACGTTTTTGTAAAGCAGGCATCTATATATTTAATAATATGTCTTTCATCCTTAACTTTCATCCAACTAATGATTTAATATGTGACTGCTTCTTACACATTCAGTTCATACAGAATATACATATGATGGCTTAAATTAAATAGTAGAAAATAATAAATATAAGAAGAATGCGAAGTTTGCAAAATACAAGACCAAATTTTTTTATCTTGTTTGCAAGTAAAGACTATCTTCCACCGTACATGCATTTATAAAATAAATAGTTTATAGTTGTATAGTGAAGCAAGAAATTTATTAACTTTGGCAAGCATTATATTATGTGTATATATTTGGTTATTAGAATATATGTTTTTCAGAATTGTAAATGAAAGATTCTTTCATTTTTCAAAGATATATTATTCAGATTTTTTCCAGGTTACTACGTAATTTATAAAGTACACCACGAAGAAGTCAAAAAGTGAAGATAGTTATCACGAACTAGCCTACATATATGCCTTTTATTCTAGAAACACGCGAATGGATAACATGTTACTCTGGCCATTTTTGAGCATAACATGCGCATACATGCGCTTAAGGTCAGTTATAAACATGTTATCAATAAACAAAATATATATATTTTGATTCGGTCAAGTTCGGTAATGTCAAAGTAAAGTTTCGTCATGTTATACAAAATGGTCTCAATTCAAATTTATTTTTCAGTAGTTTTGAGTGGAAGACTTCAATTATATAAGAAGTGCGAAACGTTAAAAATACGGGAGTGTAGAAATCAGATAAGTATGATCTGACCACATGCTTTAGATTCATAGTATTTTAAACATAGTGAACGATAAGGAACACTAAACATGCTAGTTTTGATTTAATTTCACTTTTATATTATTTCGTATTATTTGCATGAATATATTAAAAACAACTTCTGGTTTATAAACATGTTTTCAGTCACATCAAGTGTTTATCAAAAGTTATAACCAGTGATGGGATTCAGCCGGTTCGCACCGGTTCTATAGAATCGTTTCACGGAATTTTATGAGATCAGCGAACCGGTTAGCATTACTGGTCACTGCAATGTTCTGTTTGTAACAAAACCGGTTGAAAAATATGACTTTTGTGAAGGAACCGGCTGACAAAATATTTGATCCCACCACTTGTCATAACCTATTGCAGGGGTGGCCAACTCGCGGCTCGCGAGCCGCATGCGGCTCTTGCTCCGATTTCATGCGGCTCTTTTTTAATTCTGGTTATTCTAAGGGGAAAATACCTCAAAACTACGATTCATCATGTTTCGAATATACATTTTATGATTCGTAGTGCATTCTTCTTTTACGTCGAAGATACATGAACGCCTTCATTCACTTTACAAATGCAATGGTCCATTATTATGTCGCAATCAAATTTTTCGTTTTGAGGCGCGTTTATTTCACTACAACGGCTGTCGACTTTCGTGATCATATCGAATCCGACGTTCGGCGGTAAACGCGCAGTTTATCATTTGATTGCATGTGCATATAAAACGTTGCAGATTACGTCGAATACTCGTTTGATGTTTGAAATTCCCCCTTGCCTCAGTTTCTGGAATGAGGCTGCAAGTCCTGCAACTGAGTTGAAAATGATCGATCCTCATGAGGAAGACTATATCCCAATTTCAAACGAGCTGCGCTTAGGATATTGTCAATATTTGGGTCAACATACGTCTGCGAATCTGTGTTTTCTACCCTGAAAACATGTGAAATCAAAGCATTGATCTGTTCTGACTGACACACATGTGAAGAATTGCTTCGGTCAGCTACAACGACATACAAGCCAAATTTAGAAAGAATTGTTCAAACCAAGGAATGTCAGAAGTCCCACTAAGTAGCATGCATAACAATAAATGGCTTGTAAATTTCTGTCATAATCATGTTGGTTAGTGACATTTACAATAAACTAGCAATAAAACAGAGCTGAATAAAGGTATATCTGATGTCCATGTGTGTTCTTGTTTATAATGTGGCTCTTCGCGAGAATGAGGTACGAAATGCCGCCCTTGGTCCCTGACCGGTTGGCCACCCCTGGCCTAATGTGTGTGCCAGGTGGAGGTTGTTTCCTAGCGCTTAGCATCCATGATTGATAAATTTCCTTCCTGAAGCGCAGCTACATAATCATGGAATACGAAACGATCATGCTACTAGGCTTTTGTCAAGCCATAACCACGATCATTTTAGTAGATAGATGGAACTTGTATCAACTATGGGTCATACTCAAAATCATATTTTTTGTTTATTCCGTTATCGGGCTTGTTGACTGAGGCGTTGCTTGTACAATTTATGACTTCGATTTATCCAAAGTTTATTATATCGTAAGTTGAATTAAGAATTTGCAAAATGACAATAAGAAGGCATCAAGACATGGATGAAGAGGTTGCGGCTGCGTCCTCCGCTACGTTTCTCCAATACGACATTACATGAAAAGCCCACTTTGTTTATTAAACTCAACGGTGAGTATATATTTCTTCTAGATCAAGTTTTCAGCTGAATATTACAAATTTTATATAGATATTGAGTTCTTTTACTTTAGGAATAACTTACGCCTACGCAATTTGGCTTTTATTAAAACCGTTTTATCTCGGTCATTTGATATTGGAAAACTAGCACAATTTGAGTGCAAAGTTAAGATTATTTCATGTATGTGTCCAAATATGTTCGTTATAACTTTGTTTAATGATTCTTATATAATGCCCGAAAGACCTCATGTAGACTGGTAGTAATCGTTTATTATACCGGAGTCACGAAATTCAGTCAATATTGAAATTTTCACAGTGACCCGGGGGCCCAGTCGAAAGATAGAGATCGCTGCAATCAAACTTTGCAAGATTGCAGCAACTTACTTACGACAATCCTTAGCTTTCAATTCTTCCTATTTTGTCGTTTTTGAAAATCAAAAATCTACCGTAGCAAATTTTCTTAACGTACGGCAACGAAACATATATATGTCGGATGCACGTTAACTCAATTTAATATTAGCCCATTCGAAGTTTCTACTACATTCCATTAGCTGATTTAAAGCAGGATATCACTGTCGTGGTCATAACGTCAAAAGTCATTATATTTTGGATTACCATTTTCCTGTCGTTTTAAAAACTTCCTCTCCTGCCCTCTAAAAACGGACGGAAAATGATGATCATGAATGAGTCAGAACCATTAGAAGCACGGAAAAAAACTTTTCAATATCCTCGAGCAAAAGCCAAAAAATAAATAAACGCTGCTGATAATGATATCTAAATACTTAGGCTCACCACTGTAAAAGTGAACAAAATAGGTATTCCACCACAAAATATTAAACATTGATTTATTGTGCCGAGTATTACACAGTAAGGCATTTGAGAAATCAAAATGTTTTGTAAAAGATATAACTCAGACTTTTTCAATTCCAGTAGTTTTTATTCAGGCGTCACAAATATCCTTGTTCATCAATATTCAACCATTTATATTGAGTTGAACTTCGTTACTTGAAGTATCTCAATTTTACAGCCACGTCCTCTGTGTGATAATGTTAATGTAATTCGTCTTGAAGGGTCAAACAAAACACTTTACCATATAAAATCATATACTTACTATATTTTACGGGAATTTAATTCTCATTGTTCAATACTTAATATTAAAATATACATTTATTTCAGGCAAAGAAAGTAATTGGGCTCACCATTTATTGCTTCCTAATGTTGATATATATTCCATTTCACATTTTCGGAATATTATTGATACAAAAAGGAATTGCTATGCTAAACCTAAGAAAACGGCTTAGATTGTTTTACCACAAAGAAGGGAAGCTAGGACTTGCTAGCAGACGAAACAGGGTTGGTATCTCATGAAAATGTCAAAATGTACTAATTAATTAAACTAACTTGGTGAGGGTTTTGATATTACAGTTTGTTTATGAAATGTTTGAATGATTTCGATATTGACGCAAACAAACTTGCTACAACAAGATCATAATCCGGCCTCAAGTTTTAACTCTATTCGATAGGACACAGCTTCCCATTGCAGAAAAGGCGCTCCAGAAGATTGTGTACCAATATGGAGGTAACTAATTTTGTTTGCCTTATTTACATCAAGTTGTGTAAAGAGACTGAAATCTATGGGCAGGGGGATATTCACTCTGCTAAGACAAACAGTCCCCGAATTCATAATATGCTAAAATAAGAAAAATCGGAATAAAATCATAGCCTAACCCTAACTTGGTACACATACTTCGGGAGTACCGCAGAAAGCAATAGAATATTCATAGATACAAGCAAGATCCCCAGGTATTTACGAATTTGCACGCAAACGAAGAACGTTTAAGTTCAGGTTTTTAGAATGTAGAAAGTATTAGAAATGTCAAACGGTTTTGAAAGATTATTGAAAGCATTGGCCTACAAAGACTATCATATTGACTAATCCAATTACTCAAAACAATCTAGCATGGAAGTTGATGATTTCTTGTTTCCTATATATCTCAGGTTACTGACATCGCTTGCGTTTCAATGGAAAACGAGCTGGACTTTTTATATAATCGAAGTCCAGCTTATTTGTGGAGAATGTGTTTTTCTATGCCCTGGGAGCTTGTGAAGACTATTTTAAGGTAATTTTTCAGGGAATTATTTAATGAAAGTAAAATCCAATAAATGCTATATTATGGATCTTTTGTACAAAGCTCCCACTAATAAAGCAAAAATGTAAGGTTTGAGAAAAACAACCCCATCACGTTTTAAACAACAAATCAGTAATTATCCAGTTGAGGTTAAGGTTAGAGTTAAAAATGAAAGAATATATAAAATTTCCAGCGCCATCTGCATTCGTAACCCAAACCCTAACTGAATAGTTACTAGTTTGCTTATTTTGATCGTTGGCGGGGATATATTTTTTTTGTCGGGGGCTATGGACATAATACCCCATATTATATTCGTTTTAACTAATCTTGTTTATTTCAGACAAGAAAAATTCAACTGATATCCGACGCCCAACTCGCCTATGTAATTCTAAACAGCGTCTTTGCGCATTCTGTTCACTGGGACAACGATCGAAAAATGTACAGACTCGTGATGGAAGAATTCGGAGACTTTTTTCTTTTCCAGGCACCCTAAAGTCAAAACAAAATAGCCTGTTACAAAGCTTATTTTCGCACTTCTCTCAGATTTGGTTATCGAGAACATCTTTTTAAAGACGCGCTGTTACTGTCGATGAAAAGAAGGCTATGTTTCGGTTCCCCACAGCCACGTACTATATATGCACCATGCATCACAATTCACAAGTATATGGTCATAAAGCAAAATCCTTTATGTCGCAAATAAATGGATGCTATACTTTTGCAAAATAGACTATACTGTGGCGAAGAATACATTTCAATTTGAAGTATGTATTCAGAGCTTCTACTGGGATGTCAGACATGTTCTTGTTAGTCCCGACACAAAGAAAATCATCATTCAAATGAGCGATGGACAAGAATACAACTCCGATTGCGAGCAAAGACTTCGACCTACCTTCGATTTGGCTAAATTGCATGTACATGTATTCCATTTACAAGGTTTCACTGTAACATATTCTTCAAACAGTCTTGCTGAATTTCATGTTGTGTTCATTTCAGGTCTGTTTGTCGTATTTTGCTCCCGGTCTCTCGCACAATCACGTACATTTTGTTCTTCCAAGTGCAGTTGCAGTTTTGTCGCAGAAGTTACTGAACAGAAATGGAATTCTGTATAAATTACTATATCAACATTTCCGCTTCACCGAACGCATCAATTATCAGATATTTTATTTTTTCAATATAGAATCTTTGAAAGTGTTAAATCAAATCTACAGATCCTCACTGTAGAGATCTTGCTTACGAGAGTATACTAGTCATCTATCGCCGTTTGATGTTTCGAAACTAATACATACATTTTTTAACATGCAAGGGCATAAAAGAAATTCTTCCAAAAATGTTCGATTTTTGAAATTTATGAAAACCCTATTGTTCTCTTCAGTTTTTAACTGTGTCACAAATGTATCGGAGTATTAGCATCAGTTCCGGTCTTTATACAATGACCAATACTGTAAAATACGGTTGATGTTTTCTGCTTCAGTTTTGGGAGATTTTATTCATAAATATTTTGTAATACCGTGCCGATCATGGTGTTTACTGAACTAATAATCTCTTTGAACCCGGAAAGCCGCTTTAGTGGCTTTCCCGAGAACGTCTTTTGACGCTGAAAGCCGGCTTTGACATCCCGTCTGAAGTATGCAACTTTGAAACCCTCATATCTCGCGAACCATATATTATATTAGACAAGCTTTACATCGCGTGAAAAATAATTTACCGGACTAATTATCATTTCAAAATTAAGATAAAATATAGTGAGCACCTATGAAAATTGGCAAAATTGAAAAGCATAAAAAATTTCTGAAAAACTCTTAAATCAAATTAAAAAAAACTTGGATTTGTTCTCGATTTAATCTAGTACATTATCGACAACATTCGTAGAAGTTGAAGATAGCCTTCCAATGATGTCATTAGATTGAAATTATGTTGCACCATTCAAATTTTAGAAGCATTTTTATTCATGATTTTATTTGTCGCAATATCGAGGCTACCTTAAGGTGACGTAAATGACGACCTTGCGCAATTACGTCGTCACGTAGCACGTTTACGTACCATACGAAAAACACTCTCCCCCCGCAAGCTCGTCACGTCATTTACGTAAGTTCGTACTCATGAAGCGACCAACGACTTGTAATATAAACGATACACGGGGAATTTACGCATTACATTACATCCAGCTTCAAAATCTGTTCGACTAAAACACACAATATGCAGTGTTATTGCCGTTTAATTGGATAAAAATATGAAAAACAGTAATGGAAAAAATACCAAAATTTTTTTGACTAACAACATACAATCTGCAGTGTTATTGCCGCTTGATTGCATAAAGATATGAAAAATAGGAATAGCATAAATACAGAATTATAAAAACGGAATGATGAAACATATTGCTGGATGCATTGTTTGGCGCCTATACTGGACTTTATCGTGCCAGTCAAACCAATGATTTTTCTCTTCAATTCCTATACACAGGAAGACGTCGCAATGAGTGCATTTAAACACCGTTTTGCTCTGCTTCGGAATATTGTTGGCCGGTTCATAAGACCGGACGTTCACATACGTTAACGTAAAAACATAATCTTCCATCAGATCATCATCAAATTCCGATTCGAAATCGTCACTGACAGGCAGGAAAGTTCAGATTTTCTTTATCCGATAGATGAATACCCTCTAATATTTCCCCGGGGAAAAGCTTTCGTTTGAAATCCATTGTGAATATAGCGATATCATGAATGTAGTGTATATGCAGTAATTTGAAAATCGAATGAGGCCGCAAAATGTAAAACACTGACCAGGTGAGCTACCGGTGCCAACATGTCTTCCACGTTCCCATTATCATTTTTTTTTAATTTTCGTGATATCCAACGGTGAATGATTAGCCTTGATGTTTCCGGCGTAACCTCATAAACACATGAGAATCAAATTTTTCACTTTGGCCCTTCATTTGCGTCCCATATTCAGATATTAAACGTATATAAAAGGGCCTTTATATTTCTAGCAATTTTATCTATTTCGATCAAGATTCGTCTGAATATAGAGGATTTATCTGTGGCCGAGGATAAGATACTGATGCAATGATGGCACAATCTGACCTCAAGCTGTGAACGACCAGATGTGCAATTGCTCAATCTACCTCGCGTGAACGTCATCACGACAATGTCGTCGTCGGGCTTTGCGTCGTTACGCAAACTTGGCGTCAAAACAGCTGATCAATTTTGTTCGCAAATTATTGTAATCGATAGCACAAATTCTGCAATAAAATGAGTTATGCGCAAGTTTAGAAAGTCATTTTATATACAAGTCAAGGTAATTTCATATACTTTTCAAAATTTTACATAATTATATTGATGACACATTTCTAAAAAAGGTATCAAATCTTACCAAAATACAAAAAATTAGTAGATTGGAATAAAAAATAGGCTTACACAACTCATCAAAACATCTCGTAAAAGATGATGTCAGTTCTAAATAAAAGACTAGATAAGCTATTATATGACATATTACAGACCATCAGATATCTAATGATTTAAAAGATACATTGATTTAAAATTAGGGATATTACAAATTTTTAACGCGTCGAATTGATGCCAGGGTGAGAGAGTAGCGTCGTTCTGGGGATTCAGAGTTCAAAGCGTTTGCGTTTTGAGTTTGTTTATTTCAGGCATTACGAGTGCAGAAGGCCACCAACAACAAAAGATCAGCTTTGGACAGGTTGTTCTTCTTTTGGCAGCCATTCCCGCTCACAAGAGAGCAGTTCTTAGAAAGTGTTGCAAAAAAATGTAAAAAACATTATTTTGACAAAGGCATGCAAGAATGCGCAGAAGAACAGGAAGAGATAATGGATATCATGTCTCAAATGAACACCCCGCCATGTAGAAACGGAAAGGTGAGATCCAAGTTATGTGAATTAAGTTTCAAATACTGTACGTTGATTCACTGTCTCATAACAAATGAACAAATATGACCGTCATTCCTGGACTGGTATTATGATACTGCTAAACGATTTATCTTTATCAGTTCAATTGTTGTTATTCATCTATCGTTTGGATGGGTGGGATGGGTTTTGAGCTATATTGAGATGTTTAAGAAAAGGTAACAAGAGTCCATACCATGCAGGGGTGTGGAACCTGCGCACACAAGGGAAAATTGTGAGACCCTTGGAGAGGTGCCAATTTAGAATGATGTGCGGCCCGCGAAACGAGTTTTAATTTCGGTTATGTGCGAGTAATTCCAATCCCTCTCCATTGCTAAGCCTACACTTGAGTTCAATTTATTTCATTTGCCGATGACGTTACAATGCCCTAACAGCTAGTTTGTGCGAAACGAACAACCAAACTTTTTGTGAAAGCCTATGTTAAATAAAGGTGCGGCCCGCGGTTTTACCCAGTTATTTGTATATGACCCTCTTGTATTAGAGGTTGCACACCTCTGATCTATACTATTAACAACACGCCTAACTCAAGAAACCTGCAAATAATAAGCAAGCATGGAACCAAGAATACATCATTTGTTTCCTCCCGCCTTTGCAGCCGATAAAGTACTCCAGACGGTAATTTATTTATTTTATGGCTATACAGTAGCAACGAAGCCGTATCCATTTACTTATTTTTTTTATTTTCCGTAAGTTTGGATATCTAGTTGAAAGTTATAGATCCAAAACACGTGATTTTTGAATGACATGGCATAGGCTTTACTATTATTTGCTCATAGTTAATTCTGGGATCACCAATTTTTGAGTCTTTGAGCCGAATATTTTAAGTGAAATTGGAAATTTTTTTTCATTTTTTATTAATTTTCTTTATATATAGATACAAGCAATAATGCCATAGTTTACTCTGTTCTAATGCATAATCACAAATGCATCGAATTATTCGCGTCACGATGAAGACCGATACTTCTCTAAATTACAATAAATTGAAATTATATTGCTTCACTATTAGATTCCGTATCTGAATTTCCTGGCACAATATTACTTCGTGGTTCGAGATTTCGTCAAATCGATGATTCCTTTCATTGACGAGTGAGTAATTTTATTTAACCACAGAAATACATGGAATATAAAATTAAAATCGTTTCTGATGCAAAATCATTATATATATCTTGAAATATATTAATATTGTTTACATTTATTAATCATGATTTAATATAGTTTCTACTAAACTGACGAAACATTCCATCATTTACTTTTTAGTAACGAATGGAAACTTCTCAGTACTGAAGTTGCAAAGCACGTTCCCCGATTTGATAAATGTTCCATGGTTGATGCTATCGCCACATACATTCATCAAGTATGTTATAAGGTTATTTACAATCATAATCAAACATTTGTGAATCGAAAAAAATAAATACACGCCTAGAACTTCCCATTGTTATTACAGGAGATCTGTACTAATTTTCAAGGTTTAGCATGTAATTTATTTGCAATTCAGATACTTTATCGAAAGTTTAATCCTAAATTAGTCTTTTCGCAAGTGTGATTATAGTAACGTCACTTGTTGTTATCTTTTTCCTTCACAATCTGTCCCTGAGGAAATGTTCAAGTTTTTAAAGAGCATGAGCCAAAGACGCTAACTTATGTAACATAGGCTTCAAACAAACAAGGGCGGTGGTTTCTTCAGTCATCTGAACTAGGCATTTCAAGCCTTGTTTACAGCCAGATTTGTAACAGTTCATTTATGAACCACAACTAGCAATTTTACTGAAAACACATTTCTCTTTTACTCTAGGTGGCTGCCATTCACTTTTGCGATCACAGCAGCTATCTACGATATTTTGCATTCAAGTACGATCTCCACAATACGAATAAAAAAGGTAAAGATAAAAATATATTATTCTCATACGAAATTTAAAACTTCCTCACAGATACGGGTCAATGGCAATCAGGGTTCCATTCGAGCCATTTGAAAATTTGGAAGCTTGGGAAGAGTTTGCTTCAGAGCATAATTTGGATTTGGAAGACGTCAGAAAAAATCCACTTTTATTGATGAGACAAAGAGATGTATTGCTAACAAGGTACGTTGCGAAATTTCAACTCGTACCTTTCATTAACCGGAAATAAGGCGTTACGGTTTATGAATTGTATGCCGTTGCGGGTTGAATTTCCAATCGTTTTTTTTTATTCCATCCTGGCTTCTACACAGTCTAATGTGATAATGGGACGCCACGACGCTTTTCTTGCGAGCAAAATAACAAAAAAAATAATTGAAATCAGTATAAATTGGCACTATTGAGAAAGGTTTCAACTATTTTTTTTTAACTCTGACTGTTACAGACAAAGTTTCACTGTTTTAATTCTTTATATTTGACCCGGGGTTATTTCCAGACAGATGCTAAAGTTGACTTGCATAATTCAACCGACAATGCACCTCGGTCTGACAAGTATGAGGACAGTAAACATCTATCCTTGAAGGAGGCCGGGTCTTAACCAGTTGAAAAGGTCGGGGCTCATGTTTCGTCTTCATTTTGTTCATCGAGAGAATCAGCATCACATATTCATAGGAAGGTAGTACCAGATCGATGTCGGATGGCCGATGGAATATGAATATATATGGCAAATACCATCCATAAAGTGAATGGTCAATATCAAGTGAGCTTCTCTGGGAAAGACCTGGAATTGACAACTAATAAAGAAATTGCTCAGTCACGTCTTGCCAATTTGAAGAAAAGGTTAGTTCATGATCCCGAATTGCATGACAATTATAAGGAAAAAATGGGAGAATATATATCGAATGGTCATACAAGCAAAATATCAGATGACAAGTTGAAACACACCAACAAGATGTGGTATCTTTCTCATCACTGCAATTTAATTTCGAATTGTTTCGATGATTCAGCAAGATGTCAACACACATCTCTCGATGACAATATTCTATGTGGAAGTTCTCAAAATAATACGCTTTTTGGTATCTTATCAAGATTTCTAGAAGAGAAGATTGCTGGGGTTGATGTATCAAAAGTATGTATCACCAGCGTAGGCTTGCACGTTTACAGATTTACAGATTTACGGAATTACGGAATTATTTCGAATTATTTAAAAAGTAGAAGAAGTTAGAGCTTCGGTATTTGCAGCCGTTTTTCTCACTTTTCTCTCTCTTGCAAATACGTCACCGTGATAATTAATGTCGCGCTTATCAAACAGCAATATGACGACGGAAGAGAAATTGCGTAATGAGCCAACGCAACTTCGTCTTTTCGGCATCGGTAAAGCGATTGAGACGGCAGAGAAACAACAATATGACGGGATTTCCCGCGATCCGGTAAAAATCAGCAATATGCGACGGAAGAGAAATTGCGTAATGAACCAACGCAACTTCGTCTTTTCGGCATCGGTAAAGGGATTGAGACGGCAGAGAAACAACAATATGACAGGATTTCCCGCGATCCGGTAAAAATCCTTTGCGGACCGTTGACGGTCCGCGGACCGGCGGTTGGGAACCACTGTTTTAGAATACTTAAATCAAATCCAGAATCCTATTCTATTTTTATAGTTACCCGTATTTAAATAGTGGGATTTCTCCACCACAATGCATGATTGAAATTAAAAAAAAAAGTTAAATTGTAGCCTAAATGTTTAATGTATAACTATCTTTGTGCAGTATTTAATTGAAAATGTCCTAATCATTGGATTATATTTAACCAAGGCAACGAGATTTAAGAATTTCGACGATCGTTTTTTTGTTTTTAACAGTTCAATATTCTCAATTTAACTACTATCAAATATCAAGTATGAGCCAGTGTGTTTATTCTGTGCGAGAACCATTTTCAATTACAAAACCTTGGTGTTTTGTTACCGGTTTTATCGTTTTATATCAGTCCGGACTTGTCCTTGCTCAATATATTTTCCACAATGCCTCGCAATATTTCGACCAAATATGATTAACTGTCTTTACCAAATGCGCCAATTTATTTTGATTCTTGAAAACAACCGACACTCGACCAAATTTGTGTCAATCTTGGCCGATAGGATCGTCGACTCGAGTTAGAAAAATAAGTTAATTTTTTCGTGAGTGCAAAATAAATGTCACAATATGCATTTTTTTACGATATAACTTTGTATTTTCGGAAAAGCCATATCATATAAGTACGGTATTTAAATTATGCGCAAATAATTATTATTTGATCTAAATTTGTTGCAAATAATGTTACAACATTTAGGCTGCGAAATGATTTAATGTAAACTGAAGCATGGTAATTGGAATAACGTCAAAAAGTCGGCATCAATAATTATTATAAAATGCTGACTAGGTAGTAAAGTCGAATAACGTTAAAAACGGTGCTATAACAAGTCTTCGTCGCGAGGCAAGCGCAAGTATAATCAAACGAGAGAATACGCTCGTAGTGGCAAGCGCAAGTATAATCAAACGAGAGAATACGCTCGTCGTGGCATTGATAAATTGGAAACCCGACATTTTTTTTAATACGATTTTAAAAAAGTCAACTATCGTTTCATAAATATCCGTATACCAGTGTCGGTAATGATAAAATTGATCGCATAAAACTGGGACGGTTAATTTGCGAAGGTGATAAAGGAAATCAAAGCTAGCACAAAAGATAAAAATCAGAATAAAATTAATTTGAATTCACTCTTGTCTTAACATCTGTCGCCGGCGTGTAGTACTGCCGGGAATATGAAAACCCAAACTCGATGTCCCAATCGAAAATGAAGTTGATTCAATTGGTTGTTATGATAGGTTTAAATGTGTGAAAAAATATCGCAATTACGGGGTCATTACGTAATCGATTTGGCCATAATTACGGAATTGATTTTTGTCAATTCCCTGCAAGCCTATGACACCAGGTTCTGGTTACGCCTGAAGATCGTGGAGCTTTGGGATATTTATGCTGGCTAGATGGCGAGCTCAAACAACCAGTAGCTAAGGATCAAAAGAACGTTCATCCTTCTTGGTGGAAATTGATCACCAAGTGGTACATGCTATACATTGGCGTAGCAAGACTCTCGTGCCCCCCCCCCCCCCCCCCACCCCGCAAAAATATTTCGTGGGAATGACCCTAAAAACTCTCGGACATAGGCTAAAACAACGCTTTTTTATTTCGTCAAAAAGCATAACATGTCGCTATAAAAAGGCAACGGTAACCTAAAATTTGCCGTTTATCCTGGTTACTTTAATTATTTCTTTTAAACGTTTTCCCTTCGTAATTTTGCCGGTGCGATCAAACCACAAGACGTCGAAAATCGACGACTCCTTGGCATTGTTACGCAACAAAACGATTTGAGCAGAACTAACGTCAACGTTATAAGATGTGCATTACTGGTTTTGCAATGCAGCTTTTGGTTTTGCGGCTTAAATTACTAAATTCTAACCGCTTGGGCCCCTTTGCGCTGTGGGCCCTCCCGCGACCGCGGGGGTTGCGGGGGTGGATGCTACGCCACTGATGCTATAGGATTTAAGACGAGTAGCAGGTGATGGTTCTAGGAAAATTCGCCGCAGGAAATTACGCCGTAGAAAATTTCGCCTCATAGGACAAATCGGCGCATGAAAAATCGCCGCAAGAGCATTTTGCCGTGAAACAGGTATTTGTGATAAAAACAGTTAGGTTTTTGAAGTACCTTTTTATTTATTTTGAATTGGAATATTGAATTTTCCTCGGCGAATTTTCCGGACACGGCAGATGACAATGCAGACCATGAGGATGAGAAAATACTATAAGGAGGAGTTTTTATGTGGATGACTTGGAACGATCTGAACCGACTGTTCCTTTTTACGTAAAAACGAATTAAAGATGTTTGATGTGTGTTGGAAAGTGGAGATTTTCATCTCTGGAAGTTTTCTAGTAACAGCATTGTAGGTTTGAATACTATAAGTAAGTTGATAAATCCGTCTCGCCGGGGAATTTGGGTCTTGATGAAGTGTTGTCACAAAAAGTACTCGGACTGTCGTGGAATATTCCACTGATTTGTTTGCATTTTAATTTGACATTCAACAAACACAGAATTTTGCTGTTGGTATCTTGGTGCTTGTCCTGTATGAAAATTCTTCACGTGGATCTTGGCCTTAGGCTCTTGTGGAGGAAATTTAACCTTATCAATATGGAAATGTTAGTCGAGTTCGCTTTAGAATTGCAAAGTCGACTTACATTCGGGACATAAGGAAGCTATGTTATTTAGAATCACCTTGATATTGTGCATGCTTACATACATTTACACATTTCGTTTCAGATTGCACCTAGTATTAACTAGTTTGGGGATTAATAATAACTTATGTTCATTGCGTTATTTTGAGGCCGGGAATGTTACAGACAAAGTTTCATTGTTTTTAATTCTTTATATTTAACCCGAGGGTCAAATATTTCACCGACCGCAATGGCCTTCAATTAAAATCAAAGTTGTGGAGTTGTTAAAATCGATAAACCTGACAGGTATAACCCTCATCATAAGTGACTAAGTTACTTATGATCTACTGACTATTTTGTTCACAGATCATTCTTGCTCATTTTTGTCGATTTCATCCCAAGCGCAAACCTGAACTTACAACTTATAGATACTGAATATGAGTTTATTGATAATGGACCAATTATGGCTGCAGAAAAATTTCGACAGAGACTACGAGCACTAGATGGAAATTTAAGGTGCGCAACAAACCTATTTCAAACATGTCCTAACATACGATATAAAAAATGATGCGTCTTCATTTGAAAATTTTATAGAAATTCCCGGATTGTATTTGGTGGATCCAGTCACCTTGAAGTAAATATAACAGCATGTTATTTATGTAAAAAATAGCTTATATTGCTTATATGATTTATTCTAGGCTAGGCACACAGGCACCCTCAACATAACCAAAATAAATTTGATGTTAGGCTCCCAACAGTATATAGATTGCAGTTCATACGAATTTAAAGGTGTCTAGTTTTCCAATTCCACTTCAAAATTGGCTGATTCCTTTTCCAATCTCTGCACCAGCTTAATTAATAATAATCGATCTGGCCTTTCATATTTTAGCTGCAAAAATCTGTTCTGCCTGTTCCATCGTCACCAGGTGAGCAAAGGGCAGAAGACATGCGACTCGTACCACTTGATGACATTGTAAGAACAGTATGTTATTGAATGAACAGTTCATAATCGTTGTGATAAAAAAAAGTTATTTTAATGACTAATGATGTCTGTCTGTGGAATTGATTTAACACAATTGTAAGTGGTCACAGAGTAATGAAAGAGAAAATTTTTTATGTCCATCATTGTATTATAACTAGTTAAGAATGATTACCTGGTGGCAGTCTGTGTATTGCATCGTATTGACGCAGGGTAAACTCTACTGAACCCAGTAGAATCTGTCGAAAAGTTTCTCTTTTGATAAATTATAGTGTATAAATATATTTTTTTCACCCAAACTGCTAATCAAATATAAATTAAGCGCGCATAACTTGGCTGAATGCAATTCAAAGTTGTGTGTTTCCAGTTGCGACTGTTTAAATAAATAATGATTAACAAGAATAGTCTTTTCTTCAATAAAGTAGTTTATTCATGCACGCTGCAGCTTCGATTGAGCATCTATGGATGTGTAGGTGGGCAGTACCATTGTTGAATCTAATATGTCATTGCCAACCAACATTTTTTCCATTCATGATATTTTCAAAATGTTTACCGTCCCACCGTGTTTACCGTTATGTTGTTTTATGACATTCCTGCTTCCAACAAGGCCTCAGATAAGCAGTTACTTCAGAAGCAGAAGCACTGCGCGTTTGGAATGATTGAAGTGTTCCTAGCCCAGAATGCCGGCTGTCAATAAATTATTACAATCTGGTTGCAGACTTGAAGCTGAGTGTTATGACGCGCGTTATTTTGCTATGGCTAATCTATCGAAATTGTCTGGCCCGATATGTCAGCCACGTGAAACATGGTTGGTATCCACAATAAGGTCTTCCAATGAAATTTTAATTGAAAATATCCATTGGTATTTCACTGATCTGACAGGGGCTGGAATGTAACCAACTTTTCAAATATAAAGCATGTGGTATATATACAGTTCGAATTGTGATTTATACATTTTATGATACTCGAGAATTTATTACTTTCTTCTCTTCTTTAAATATACAGTATGTTTTTGTTTGATATATCTTGTATATTAATATATCTTGTAACTAGAACCAATAATTCTTTTTATTCATTTTGTTGATGAGGTTGTTATCGGAAGCCTTATTTTCGACTGCCTCACAAATATTTAAAACGCTTCTTTCAAAATAAATGTAATGCAGATCATTGAACAATTTCGAACAAATATGCTATTGATGTAAAAGTGAAACGAAATCGTTTAGGATTTTAGAAAACTGTTAGACTATAATTGTTTATGTTCACTTCGAAGAAAAGTGAAGCTGGCGAGACGGGATTTTGATCTTGAAAAAGCCAAATATTTCAGGTAGGCAGGTCGTCTGAAAAAATGTTTAAGCAAAAGATGTATTCAAAAACCCTAATCGACATTGGTAAAGCAATGAAACTTTCAAAATCTCACTTGTCTGTGATGGAAGGAAACACCGAAACCATACTAGAAAATGCGGACGAGCAGGAAAAACAATGAATTGGTGCAATAATTACGATTATTTTGCAAAGTCTTTTAGAAAGTCAAAACTAAAGGTGTTTCCATCTCCTGATAATAATTTAAAAACAAATTCAAACAGTACAAATAAAGTTAGATCTTAAAGTTGTAAAGATTCAGAGTATTCAATGAAGGTTGAACAATCTCAAATTTCCCCTAAGCTTCCAATAGATCCGGAAAGAGGCAATTAAAGAGCTATATGGAAATGATATATATATATGTGAAGATGTGGATAGTACACCAACTCCATGGGTATCTCTTATAGCTGTGGTACCTAAGCAGTGATCCCCCCCCCCCCTATAGGGGGTGAACACCCCCCCCTAAAATTTCGAACACCCCCCCTAATTTTGAGGTGCGATTCCACACTGTATTTCCTAAATCAAGTATAATTGTATTCAAATATAACGACTATGGCATATTTATCAGTGTAGATGAGGGGTTCTAAACCGCAGTCTGCGGGCCGATTACGGCCGGCGTGACGATTTAAAATGGCCCGCCGAACTTGAGTGAAATAGTTTAACCCCTCGTGTGGTACCTTTTGAGTTTTAGATACCGTCTATTGTTACATCATTATCACGGTTTAAGCACGTTTATTTCGTAACAATTGAATTATACCGGTATCTTATGTATACGTATGGGTATTAGGATTACACACTGCAGTATTTTAGATATCAGCCGTATATTAGGAAAGCATCAAAGATGTCACAAAACGAAAACTAGGCACTGAAAAGAAAAAAGACGTTTTTTATATGAATGACAGTGTTTTTATTTCTTTATTGAAAAGAATCAAACTTCAGCGATTTGTCTTCTTACCAAAAAATATTTCAGTTCTGAAGGAATACAACATTATGATCAGTTGACGCGCGTATTTCAAAATTTAATTCATTGCTTAATTCATACAAAAGTCAAACAAACATGTTCCAAAAAAAATGTGTAACAAAACAAGCCATAAGTAGCCATTCATACAATGCCAGACGAGCAAGTAACTTCATTAGTCACTATCAGTTGCAAATTACTTGTTGAAACGTAGTAGTATATATTTACGGTTGAAAGCCGTGCTTGTTTTCTATGATTCTATCAGCTAAATAATATAATTATGGATTTCATTACATAACAAACTGCGATGCTAGGTGTATCTAAAATCAAGCTTAGAGCCTATTTTGGTGCCTATTTCTCAAAATTTTCTCAGGGCGCATGAGCGCGCCCTGAACCGCAGCCGTGACGTCCCGTACTTTTTCTCGTTCCCCTTTTATGGCCCTACAATTTTATTCTGCTGTGGATTTTGGCTTGCCGTCAATCAACTTGGGGGACCCTCATGTACATCGTTTCTTAAATACATACCATTTTTTTTAAGAATACAAATAGCCTAGTTTTATCTCCAATAGCAAATTATTCACCACCCCCTAAATTTCGAAACACCCCGCCTAAAAAGAAAAGCTGGGGAACATACTGTACCTAAGTCCAATGATCCTGATAATATTAGATGCTTGTGCTCAAATATGAGAGCTGCGATAAAGCGGGGTCTCAAAAATGTCGTGTCCTGCGTGTCCCACATGTTTCACCTGTCCCACTCATTCTACGTGTCCCACTTGTGCCCCGTGTCCCACTCGTACAACGTATCTCACTTGTCCTACCTGTCCCACGTGTCTAACCTGTCCCACTTATTCTACGTGTCCCACTTGTCCCCCGTATCCCACTCTTTCTTCGTGTCTCACTTGCTCCGTGTGTCCCACTTGTCCCAAGGTCGTGAAAATTGGCGTATAGGTGAACTATACATGATTAAAGTAATATAATTAGTCTCTTATTTATAAAAAATAATACCTAATCCAGTAAATTACAATAAATTGCTCCCTATAAACAGATACGCTGAAAGGTGAAACTGCAATGCATTTTCATTAAACAAAGGGTAAATTCACTCTCTCGAACGAAAAAGTTTTAAGTATGTCCTTGAAATTACCTGCTTTGATGCATTAGGCCATTAAAATTGTACCAGTTGTATTACCTGCTTCCCACTGTCTAAAAGTTGTCTAGGTTGCTCAATTAAATACGTGTATGTAAATATTGCCAAAAGGTTGATATGGAACAATGGAATGGTATCAGAATGGTCTGATAGTTTTTCAAGATGAAGATTATACAGCTTTTTGAGCACAAGAACATAGATCAGACAAAAAGAGATGTAAACCAAGGCTACTGTGATGAAGACATCCGGGTAAAATTTCTCGCTGATACCATAATTTAGAGATTGAGTTTCGTGCTTTGTGTTATTCAATGCTGACTTGTGGTGTTGATGTTGGTCTTTCTTCTGTATCTTTTAAAATATATATAGTATCTTACCACCAATAAAAAAGACAAGGTTACAAAAAGTCGATACCATAGTGAATTAAATATTAAGTTAAACCATCTTTATTGTTATATATATGTATACAGTATATGTATGATCTTCTAAGACTGTTTACTCTGTTCGTTCTGATATTGAGGCATGAATATATCAATATAGTAACGTCGTCGGAAATAGAATTTTTAATCTCAAACCAACGAGAGTTACTACAAAGATACATACACTAGTGCAATTTGAAGCGTTTTATTCTACTTAATTAATAATTTACATCTTGTCAGGAATGTAAACCTCACTTTTCAAGAACCATGAGTGAGAACGATACCAAATGATTCACTCTTTTAATTACTTCTAAATCACTCTTTTATGCTTTCTGGAGACAATCGGAGTCACAGGACAATTTGCATAAATTTAGTATTAAATGCTCAACAATAAAACGAATTCCTGATCCTAAACTACAATCTTAGATTCAACCTGGCGTCAATTTAGAATCTGAAAATAGTTTGCTTGAAGCCCGAAAATGATGACAAACATGATGTGCAATATATAAACCTGTCATCATATGAGACGCTTCCTGTGACTATCTATTTTTTTAAAAAGATGGTCAACTCATTTCAAACTTATGTCAAATCTGATTCAGCTCCGACGTACATTGGTTCATTCCAAACCTATACAGAGTTGACTGAAATACTGACTGTGACTGTTGGGATAATAGCTATGATTAAAATAAAAAATAGGAGTTTAGACACCACGCTTGTTACACCATCTGATGTCATTTTGTGCACTTCATTAGTTGATATTACTGAATGGGAATAGTACTGTTGACTTGGACTTGTTTGTATGAACGAAAATCATCAAATTTTGATTTGCTTTCCTATATTTTTCTTTTTACTGTTTTGACTAAAATTGTCATGCTGGCCTCACGGAATGTGTCGGCGGGCCGCAGTTTGGACCACCCTGTCACAGATTATGGCAGCGTTTCCAAACCTTGAGGTAATTTCTCCCTGGAGAGGAATTTTGATGTTTTGGGGACGAAATATTACTTTGTAATTGGTTCGATATTATGAATACTCTTTATTTATATGCGTCATTAATGGTATATATATTTATGTGTACAATATAAACTATTCAAACTGTGTAAGAGCCAGAGTAAAGGCTGCGAGTAACACAAGCTAATAATCCTTCATTAACAAAAGAAAAAAATTAAACAAGTTTTGATGCATAGTGAGGGAGGAATAGAGAGATCTGAAATAGACCAAAAGGAATATATCGAAAAAGGTAGGAACCACTGGATGATGGCATCATACTGTATTTAAAAACTAGCATGTCGCCACACTGGCTTTTCCAATATCACGTTGTACGGAAGTTTTCAATTTGTATACTAGATTTATTAAAAACGAGATTCCCCCAATTCTCATCCAAACTGCCCCAATTAATTTGTCTATTTCCGCTACCAAAATTGTGTTATTCACGTTTCGAATAATAAATAGATGATAATTAGTAAGAAAATTATACATATATATATCAATCGAATATCCCAGTGAATTTTGTGGTTGGGCGAAACACAAAATTTAACATCATATTGTTACGAAATTCTGCGTACGCCACTATATGTATTGGTTTCATAGATAGGAAATATTTTTTCAATAAAACATTATAGTAGACAACTTAGTATAAGTTTTTTAAATGAACACTGAAATGCCTGCAGAAACGACAATTCTTATGTAATGAAAGTGTTTTTGCCTATTACAGATTCACAAGGCAATTAATTCAAGTATTTTAATAAAAATTCAGTAGTGAGTTCAGTAACACGCCAGGTATGTATCTGAATCACGATAGCGCAATGCGCAGCTAAGCGTTGGATTGGTCACTTATTGTTAGGGAATATGAGCCGGATTCAGTTCGTCAGGGGGCGAGTCGAGCTGAAGAGCCTATGAAATCACAAGTTTTATTGAATTGATTTTATTGAAAAATTAGAACTACAGAAGCAACGAATAACAATTTCTAAATGTTCTGAAACAACGAAACTCTAAAAACTAAACAAACACAAAAACAGTGGTAGAATAGCCGAGATCATCTTTGAGCAAGCATGGCTTGAAATAAAACACTCTCATAAAAGAAATGAAAACTAAGAATAGGGGAGAGCAAACATATTAAGAATGATAACAACCAGGTCACACTGCAGGTAAATACTTTTGTGAAGATTAAATGAAAACATTCACATATGATCCCATCTAGGAAAGGATATATGAATCGAAACAGCTTCAACTTTACTATTCTTTTCAAATTAATAAAGTGGATAAAATCGTGTTATTTTATACTGAAACTAAAGTTACTCCTTTTTAAATAAAAGTCAGATTAACGCCTTATTTACTACACATCATTCAAAATTAGTTTTGACATATTGAAAAAAGTATCCTATCGTTTTTAAAGTGAATTCATTGAGTATTTTAAAAGAAATTTTCACAATGATAAAATTAACTATAAATACTATAGAACAATTGAAATATGTATAGAAATACCCATAAATATCAGGATTTAAAATCCAAACAGAAAGTTTGAACAATTTGGAAATTAGGATTTTTGCATTCTTTGTAACAAAAAAATTTGAAATAAATGATCTTTGAAGGTGTATCAAAAAACAACTGAGACACCTTGAATTAGCAGTCAATTTGCAACAGCTCAATGAGATATATTTGAATATTTTCAATATACACTAGAAAATAGTTTGGTCCCAACTTGTGCAAAGTTTACTCGGTAAATAGAAAAAAGGGAATTAGGATTTTGGATATCAATAAAAAAGATATTTAGCACAGTAAAATTATATAAAACTAATACACAGTAATTCACTTACAGTTTTACCCAAAAATACATTATATCATAAAAATCTAAAACTAATCTACAAACTAATGACTTAGTCTTGAAAAAAAATGGAAAATAAATTAAGGCAAGCAGCTGGGTGGTTCTATCTTAACTTTTATTAGAATTTAGTACTATCCACATATTTTTAGAACTAATTTGGAAATGTATGCTACATAAATGTTAAACTGATTTCTTTCCAATTTTTAAACTTTTATGATATCAACAAAAGAGGAAATTTATCCATTAAAAACTGTCACCAATGAGCATAACTGTTGATAAAAAAGTATTCACCCCCATGATAAAGCAGATAGTTTGGTAGTCTACTAAAATATGCTCTAAATGCTAAAGTCTACCATATGTGAATGAATAAGCACATACATAAACAATAGGTAACATCAGTATCCGTTGTAATCAATGAATTACGTTGAAGATGATTGAGCATGTCATATTGCTTTCTATGTTATTTTCCCAATTATATATCAGTATTAAACATACAAAAAATACTAGCAGGTAACTTAAAATTCAAATTCATCTTTCTCCATTGAAGTGAAAAAATCTGCCTAAAACAACATGTTCAAGCCACGAAACAAAAATTGATTGATTAGGAATTTATCTTTATCTTATTCATTGCTATTATATTTTATTGTCCTTTAGCTACTACATTGAAGCATTAGATAATTGTCAAGTGTGGTTTATAGGAGAGTTCTAGGCTTTGGTGATAACTGAAAAAACTAGGTTAATACTAACATAAACTTTTTTCTAACCATCTACCATCAACAACAATTATAAAATAAATATGAAACAGCAATATTCAAATTGCATCTCCAACAGAAATATCTTCAATTGTATTATTCTTCAGGTCAACTCCCAATTTGGTCAAAATGTCCTTGCCTGAAAATTTAATGAAAAAGGTAATGGACTTTTCTTGGTACTCCCGTAGTAGGTATACCAGGTTAGGATTAGGCCATAATTTTATTCCGATTTTCCTTATTTTAGTTCTATTACGAGTTCCGGGACTGGTTGTGTTAGCCGAGTGTATATACCCCCTGCCCATATGCTTTTGTCTCTTTACACAACTTGATGTAAAGTAGGTAAACAAAATTAGATACATCCATATTGGTACACATACTTCTGGAGCGCCCATTTCTTTAATCAGGTAAGTCATGCAGATTCAAAAGAATAGCAACAAAATTCGTCATATGCTCAATGTACAAACAATAAGTAGGTGTTGTAGTTGTTCATTCAATGCAAATTACCTTTGTTTGCTGCGGGGGCATCTCCACTATCCACATCAGTCGTTTGATGTTCAGTATCAAGAGTTGAAAAATCACGAGATGAATATTTCTTCTTTCCCACAGTAACACCATGGCCTCCCTCACATTTTATTTTGTTATTTATCATTTGTACCTTAGGGGGCTCAACAACCTAGACAAAAATTAATTTAGAAGAAAATAAAACAAATTCTAAATTGGTGGGAATGCTAAGCAAAAATGAAAAACATTCCTAACGGAACGGACCAGGTTTATGAAATTTACAGTCGACCCTGAGTCAGGTTTTAACCAGGTTATGGAATTCACAGTCCATCCTGACTCAGATTCTAACCATGGTTATATAGGGGTTATGAAATAAATATATGAAATATATAGACTCCCGGTTGATGGAAATTTTGACTTCAACTTCAGTTATAATTCAAATTTAGATAACAAAAACATTTGACAGATGCAAACCTGCTTTGATAAATTGTTAAGAACTCTTAGTCAACTTATTTTTATTTTTTTGATTTTTCCAATTTCAATCATCACCAATAAAAGTCTGAAATTCAGGCTTCGTGCGAACTAAAAATTTAGGCTAGTCTCCAGCTTCAATGAATACATGTCAAACTTTACAAGCCACTTGTTCTGATGACTACAGGCAAATTAAGTTGAACCCACATGCAAATGAACAGCCCCTTTTCTTGCCATTCCTTTCATTTCCACTGTTGCATCAAATGAAGGATCAAAGTCATCATCAGAGTCTTGTATGTGAGTTATATCATTGTTTTCAAGTGTTGCTGTACATCCTGGCATCAGTTCTATTGCAGCACCCTGGTATAAAGTTATGCAGATTTGAAATCTTCTTCTTGTAAGGTAAATTTTGATGGATAGAATTGTCCGAATGCTAGCAATATATCATTTTACTTCAAGAAAAAATTATTTATCATATAGTCATCAATAAGTATGAAGCATCTGGCTAATTTGGTGTAGAAAAGCATAAAATATTGTTGAACTATGCATAAAATAAGGTGAAGTGAAAAGTTGATAAAAAAAACCTAAATCGTGGCAAAGTTTATAAATAAATTGTTGAATCTTAACATAAACCAGTGTTTGTGAGATGAATATGAATAATTGTTGAATTAAAATTCATTCAATACAAATGCGTAGTAATTGTAATTAATGAAACGTACCCAATAACGAAGTTTTAGTAATTTAGTTCCCTAGAATATGTTCCAAATGACCTGGTTTCCATTATTGGGTCACCCAGTGTAATGTCCCAAATATGAAGGGAATTTGATGATTTGATTGGAAGTTTCAATAAAGCTGTTACCAAAATTAAGTAATGCTTACCCTTGTTCCCGTAATGGTGCAATTTTTCATTGTTAGATTTGCACCCTCTCGTACAGTGATTCCTGTTCCATCACATTTAAACGTGCAGTCTGTAACAACAGCACATCCACTTTCTACTCTCAATGCTCCTTCTGTATTTTCAGACTGAAAATAAGATACTTGTGTAACTTTTGAGAACTGAAAAATCCTTACAAGAAGAGAAATAATGAAGTTATGCTATGATAGGATTAAAGGTGGCCTTGTATAACAATTTGTTTTATACATGGAATCAGGGATCTTATATATGGGCATGCAGCTGTTCCCGGTAGACTGATATGCTACTCATTGACAACACCCAGCATATTTTCATGGTGTATCAGATCTTTGTAGTATTCCAGATAATGTTTTATGAATTTTTCAACACTGAATTTTGCAGAGCCTGTTGTTTGTCTAAAAATTACCCCTGATACAAATCAGATACAAATCTGAGATCGCTTACTTTAATCAACAAATTAGTAAAAATGCCCGAAGGAACGATATATGTACAAAAACAATCACCTAAATTCGCTTAGAATGGCGGCAGGACCCTCTTAATGCCATGTAAGCATATTCACAGGTTAAGCAGGAATCTTGGAATATTTAAAAATACACAATTTTCGTTGTATTTTCCCTCTGATAAAATGGCAAGCATTTTGGGGAAATTTATGACTTTATGGTCAGAGATAGTTTAATGAATTTTCTCAGTCCCGAAATTTATTATTATAATAAAAAACTTACTTGAATAAAAGTTATATTTTCCATAGTAACGTTAGCTGCACTTATATTGACAAATAAGTCATCATAAGTGATGGCTTCAACTATGATGTCCTTCCTTTTCCCAACACCTGATAAAAGAAATAAATATTATTACAACAAAACTAACCCATAAAGATTAATTCGTAGAAACATGAAAATTGAAAACATTGATTCAGTTGTGTAGTGACTAGTGAGAAATAAAATAGTTCGAGACACTTTAAAACACTTCAATATTCTACATTATCTTAATCGAAGTTTTACATTTTGCTGCAAGAAACAGCTCTATATATCACATATGTACAACACCTTAGAATTTTCGAACACAACAGATGAAATGGTGGCTTGGTGGGATTTATGCCACTGCTATTACTACTACTATATGCTGAATAAATATTGAGTTTAGCCAAATAAATTGGAAATCCAATAAAGCTCAGATGAAGTGGCTTTTAGTGACAATAATGTAGTTAGTGTGAAAGCTAGGGGGGTCATCCTTTGGTCGTTTCTGACATTTTTTAGAACGACCCTATGTCTTTCCTGAAAATTTCATAGGTCTCAAAAAAGTCACCAATAATATATGCGATTCTTGCACCATTTTGGTATTATATATCTGATTTGTTTTCGGTGTGATGACTTGCTTGATTAACAGGTCATAAACATTTTATGTCAGCAGATTATATATCCATATCTTTTGACAATGCATGTCTTGCCTTATCAGGTTTCAAAATATACAAAATAGGTTGTGGCATTATGCTAATTTACAAATGGAAACAATATCAAAAATAAAACGAAGAACATCAAAATTTATGTTTTGAGAGCCCAGGGAAAGACAAATCAGACCTGTTACTTGAACACTATTTTAGACACTGTAAATCACAAGATTGCTTTTATATATACAACTATCATTGTATGACATTTTAATGAAAGGTTGTCGATGGGTTGTATATTTTCCACAACAAGAAAGCTGATTGAGTTAGATATTTTATTGAATGATGTAATCATGACGATTGTTTTAGAAGCGGTTGCATGAAATTGCCGAGACATGATATGTGTATTTCTTAAAATATCCCTTCCCTTTGAAGGACTTCCAGGATATCACAAAATGACACCAATCTTATAAATGTACCGACTATATAGTATAAAATACTATGAATGCTGGAATACCTTTTATGGTGACAGACTCAGTCAATTCATGAAATCCTTCACCGCTATGAATTCCAGGATATAAAATGATTGTATCACCCTCATAACATTGTTGCAAAGCAGACTGCGGTGTCTTGTGCTGACTGAATATAAAATAAATTAAAAAATACATCAAATGTATTTAAATTTAAACTATATAAGCAAACCCCCTTTTTTGCAAAAAAATTGCTCACTGCACAGTACCAATAAACAACTCAGACAAAAAACAAATAAATTTTATCTCATAAATAGTGAGTTTTCATGAAACTCCTACTCACGTAGCTCCTCTCACTCACCAACAATGTTGACTCGACTCCATTAAAGTCTAACTTAACCACTCTCCACTGAAAACTAAGTTACATAAATAAACCAATTCCAAAAATCAGCGATCAACTTTTTTTTATCAGTAGTTCAGTACTCATTCAAGTTTTAGTTAGGACTTAGGAGGCTCGGAACCTTGCCTTGAATGAACCTAATTGATTAAAGACATGAAGTACTTATTGCAAAACTTACAGTATGGCAGTATCATCTTTAAAATCTCTGAGCATGGAAGGAGTTAGCATATCAGTAACAAGATGCATAACAGTGGAATCATCATCACGCTTTCCTTTTGTCCGTCTGAGTACTCGTGGAAAACACGGACCTTCTGCCCTGTATAACGCAAACAAAGTTTAAATTGTTCATTAATTGATCATTATTAAACATTGACATCACAGAAAAATTTTTTCTCGGGTCACACTATTTAAAATAATCCCTACCTCAGCTGCAATGTTTCCCATATTTGTAGCAAACCACTCAACATGAGAACTTCATAATATTTTCTCCAGCATTCAACTGCTTCAGCATTTGTTGGTTCTCCTTCTCCTTGAATTCGAGACTGAGAAAACAAAAATGACAGTAAAAAAACAGCGCTTTAGAAGTGTGTGTACCAATATGGAGTAACTAATTCTGTTCGACTATTTCACATCAAGTGTAAAGGGACTAAAGACCATAGGTATAGGGTATGTTCACTTGGCTAACAGACAGTCTCCGAACTAGTAATAAAACTAAAATACGGAAAATCGGAATAAAATTAGGCCTAACCCTAACCTGGTATACACAAAATATGGGAGTACAACATACAAGCATTCCTCTACAGAATTAGAATAATACCTGGTAGTCAAGAAGCTCTTTTCTTCGAACAATATACTTAGCCATTGTACGATTGTATCTGGCAACTAGAGGTGCGGGTACACATCCAGTTACAACATCATAGTATAATTGTAATCGGGCACGTAAATAGGCATCAAATGCCTGATCTCCTTCATCTTCATCATCCCAATCTCGACGAAGATGTTCAAAAAAGAATCTGAAAATATGATTCATTGTTGTGATGACGAACTGGTCTGACAAAATGACAAGTGGTCCGCAATATTTGTAAAAAGTATAAATTTCGGGTTAAATATTGAGTCCTATAGATCTCAGGGTTCATTGATTGTGAAAAAATACAATTTTTCATAACAACAAGAAAAAACCCAACAAGTATTTATTAATAAGATCTCTATGTATACTTCATGTCGAAAATAGTACAAAATAAAGTGCTCCCGAAGTATTCGTACCAAGATGGCGCACAACCCTAAAATAATATGTGTACATGGTCAGGGTTGTTCAGGTTGTGCGTCATCTTGGTACGAATACTTCCGAAGCGATCAAAATGATACTCAATTAATGACAATATACATTCAGAGGTCAGAATTGTACTTGTACTTTTAAAAGTCAGAAATAAAAGTTCCATCAACTTGAAGCCTCCAAGCCATTTAAAAACTGACTTCAGCCATATTTTAATGAAACATGTACTACCTACTCTCCGCAGGCTTGTTTAGTTTCAGTTTAAAACAACTGTTTTACTATTTAAAAATTCAAATTGAGAATTTTAACAAGAGGAATTTGTATTTGAAGATACAGCTCTAATACCAGTAGAATTGCCAAACTATGGCTTCATAGATCAATGCAGAATAAAAAAAATTGACTTCAACTGAAATAATAGACTGGGAACGTATTTGCCGAACAATGACTAAAATTATCCATATTTGATAGCACACTTTCAAGGGGCGAGGCCATTTGCTTCACTCAAAATGTTAATAGACATTGGACCTGTGAGTTTACCGCTAATCTAACATTACTCCCTTTTATTTCTCCTTTTAGCACTGTTTAATCAGCAAGGGTCAATTAAGACAAGGGATATGAATGATATCAAGTTCATTTAAACCTGGTGAGAATGTAATAACGGCTTCCTACTAACCACTGTGACTTATTTCCGTATATAAGACTCCATTATGTTGCACACCAAAAAACCACAAAAAAATATCTGTAATTCCATATTCGAAAACAAAGTCTTCATACACCGACCTAACGTTTTCAACAATAGCAGCAATCTCTTTGATTTCCATTTCTTCATTTTCTAGATCTTTGTCATCCATATCAGGATCATCATCTCTCAATGTTATTGGATGAAGTTCAACAATATCTACAGTGTGATCGAGTTCTTCCAATTGTGCTTCAACTACATGTTGTGGAAGACCAGCACCAGAACACATTAGGGGTTCAAATAAAGAAACATGTGCTTGGTCACTGCAAACATCATCAACCTAAAACAAAAATAATCATGATCGAAAATGAGATTGCTGTTTCTGCTTTACAAACTTCAACAGAAAATGGAAAACAATGATTTTTACAGAAATTTACTCTTTTTTATTTTAATTTGAATTTTGAATTTTGTAATTCCAAAATGAAATTTTTTTGGAAGTAAAATAGCAGTAGAATACTGCACTAAACATGGACATCTCACAGTATTTATAATAGGGTGCTCCCGAAGTATGCGAACCAAGATGGCGGACATCGGAACGTAACATGGGTAACAGGTTAGGGTTAGGCGATAATTTTTTTCCAATTTTCCTAATTTTAGTCCTATTATCAGTTCGAAGACTAGCCAAGAGCCTCCCGTAGTATTAATACCTAAAATTATGGCCTAACCCTCACCTAGTACACATATTACATTCCGATGTCCGCCATCTTGGTTCGCATACTTCGGGAGCCCCTATAATAGTACTAAAAAGATAGAAAACTGAAAAAGAGAATTCTTCTGGAAGGTTTAATAAACCATATGTTGCTCTGAACATGCCTAGTGATCGTTTGCAACTTTATGTTGATATCATTTCTATCATTAGTTAAAATAAGCTTGTAGGCAGCCTAAGCAACAATATTTACCTGAGATCTGAGCACAAAATATTCTAAGACAGCTACATTTTTTTGGGGCAATTTGCCATATCTGCTAAAACACCTACCATTTGGCTGATATTACTACGAAACAGACACTTGGGTTTTCTTATTACTGTTTATTTACATTGCTAAATACTGTAAGCTTATACTTTTATTTATAATCCTTACTGCCTCACTGGTAAATTTCCTAAATCATTAAAAGAGTTGCATTTATGAAGTAATCTCATACATTAATAACATATTCAGGGATAATCCGTTGATCAAATATCCTATACATGCATTATAGGTGTTATGATGCACAATAGATGATAAGACTAGCCCAATGTAGGCTATGGAAAAACTATTGTGAATTCAAATTATTCTTAATAAAAGATACATTATTAAAATAACATAATTTATTAAAATAAATGCCAAGGTAGATGCAATCAATTGAGATTTGCCTTTGATATGATACAAAAATATCAACATGAATTTACCTCAACCAGAATATCAATCGAATGCCTAAAACTGTTGTCATAGGTTCCCCTCCATAATGCAAGCCATTTTCTTCCCATTAATCGTTCCTCAATATAGGTATGAACTCTGTTCAATACCTGGAATAAAAAAGCAAAGATGCGATTTTCTCATAATAATCTGAGGAGAGAAAACAGCCTGATCATATTCATAATATAAAAAATTAAGCGCTGTCATGCGATTACTTGGTGGATCTAGAGAAGATATAAAAATTGTTAACTGTTTTACAACATAGAATTAGTTGGGCGAAGATAAACTAGTGAGCCATGGCCCACCAACAGTAAATGCCACATAATGAAGATAAATGCTCAATCGTTCCAGTTTGAAAAAAATGGGGCTTTCAGAGGCATTGCACAGTGGAAACAACTGCAAAAAAAAGTCACTGAGCCTGCTGTTTTTACTGAGATAAATATCCGAGTATCACTGTAATTTACCTATTATTTGCTCATTTAGTTAGGAACACAAAAAATGGAGGTGAAAAATATGTTATGTATAAAGATGTTAAGAACCACTGCCCTACTTCAAACCTACAACGGTTAGCTAAGAAAGCACAAGTGATTAGCATAATGTTTAAAAATGATTCAATCATCCATTGCCACTCACCTGTGAAGGTCTACAATCCGCAATCCTAAACTCTTTGCAAAATATTTCATATCTGGCTTGTGGAGAGATGGAAGTAGATCTTACAATTCTAGGCAAATGACGAAAAGCCATCGACGCTGATGGCATTCCTGAAGTTCCAGGTTGCTAAAAATCAAATAAGAATAAAGGTGGATAACTTTGAAATTAGCAAGATATGAAAAAGATATTTGCAAAGGAAAATTTACAACAATACAGGAATATCAATATCAACAGATAAGTGAATCAAAATATATTCATAAAGAATAGATGTCTTTTAAGACAAAAATATTGTGGAGAAAATGAGCTCAATTTTTCCTATCCAAGTAAAAACTAAGACCAGATATAGGGTAGGCCTATAAGAAATCTGTGAGATGTCAATGAAACTAATTAAATGTTGGATAAGGACTGAATGAAAAAAATATGCAAGCATGAAATAAATCTGAAAGTTATTGTTAATGAAGCATGTTTCTGCCAATTGTTTTTGCTCATAGCTTTTATACAGCTTGAACAAAGTAGCATGTTGTAGGGGGCAGCAGATCCAAGCTGTAGAGTTTGCATTATTACACATGTTTATCTCAATGTTTTTATTATTGAAAAGCTGACATCATGTGTACAGCCTTGTGTGACTCAATATGGTGATGGCGAGTCTGATTGACAAGCTGACTGCCCTTTCCCACCAATATGCTTGTCTGGTCATTGCGTGATTCATTGCAATATTACAAACATTTCACTCTTACTTATCCTTTAATTTATTCATTCTCTGTTTAACAACATCTATAATTTGTTTAACCCGAATTATTTTTAAATCAAGCTTCTTTAGTTCAGGTCTCATGTAGTTTCGTACCTAACGTACTTCTAGTAGGCGTAATTTTCTCACGTTCAATCCTAACCCCCACCTGACCACACCATCCAAAAATTACGTCACTACGACGTCACAGTGACGTAATAGAGCCCTTCAAACTACGCGAAATGTCATCCAAGACGCGCAGACGAGAACCCAAAATCGAACAGCCATTTCTCTCGTTTTCTCGTCGCAACGATCCCGATAGGAGAGAGATCGCTGACGTTAGTCGGTTCTTTATTGTCGGAGCCGATGCCATTTCGGGCGATCGTACGAGTATTTGGCAAGCTCCGTGACGTGACTGTGATGTCGTAGTGACATAATTTTTGAATGGCGTAGTCAGGTGAGGGTTAGGATTGGCATGTCAAAAAATTTTTATGCTGCGCCTACTAGAATTACGTTAGGTACGAAACTACACGAGACCCCTTCAGTTCAATTATAGCCTAGCTCTGTCCTTATTATTTATCGTTTTAATGGATATCTTCAGACACACAAAATTTCGTTTCATCCTGCCATCCGTAAAGCTCCCCATCTCTGCAGCTGCACGTAATCGCAGTAAAAATTGATAGCAATAAGGTCATGTAATCTAATTGTTACTGCAACAAGCATTTTCAGCTTCAATTTGACTATCCTTTTGTCACTTTATCACATTGCATTCCACATGTTACTGTGTTACAGCGTTATCTTTGTATCAGATTAAATTGGTCGTTATTATCTCAAGTATTTTAAAAGTACAACAGCCCGACAGTGCAATACATTCCTGTTTTTTGTGTGTCTATTTCTGGCCCAAGCCCCGTTTAACAAGTTCAGAAGGTTTGTGTTTTTTGTAAGTGTGTGATGGCAAAATGGTGAGCTGGCACATCTGTACATGATATTTCTCATGTTTTCAACTTTCAGACTCTAAAAGGTTTTATTCGCTTTCCAGAAATTTCCATTTTCATGTAGCCTATTACAGTATTATGAAATTTTGAAAATAAACGAAACAATTTCAGAACCTAGTCTACCTATCTAACAATTTTGGCGTAATTCAGTAATTTGGTAATTGTGTCGGACTGTCTCGAAAAAATTCCTGAATTCTGCAATCCAAGCTCCGGAACATTCAGAACCAAAGAAAGAATTTTTTCCAATTTAAAAACCCAATTTATTCTTCATAAATTAAATCTATCGGTAACTCACATCATCCTCTGCCAGCCTAATTTCTTCAATTCCGTCTTCCAGCGTTTTTTCTGTTTCGTCTTTAGAAACCTGAGTAGGCTCTGCAGCAGTCGCCATGTTTTATGTACCAATGATTTTACCTTCAAAATTATTGATTAAACCTTTATTTCTGTATTTATTTGTGAAAAAATGAACGATAAAATTTCTTTAACGTTGTCTACACAGAATTGAGAAATACGAATAGGCCTACCTGAATACTGAAATAGCAAAAACCTAACCAATGCCAATTGCCAACTATATACATATTTAAAGCATAACAGATTTATCAAATAATACATCAATAGTTCCATCGCTTATTATTTTCAATTTTGTTCCTTCTCCCATATATTTGATGGCAGCTTTCAGCTTGCAATTGAAAATTGTTCGCATGCTGGCATGGTTGATTGGTAAGTTTGCCCTTCTTCAAATATAATATAATTTCGAAAATCCCATATGGCCCCTTTTGCACACGCAATGATCAGTCCTAATACAGTAATATTGGTTTTACATTTTGTAGGAAAATTATACTTTTAATATTGTACTGGGGAGGTGCAATGTTACATCATTCCCAGAATTGTCTAACATAAACGCATTCTAAAAATAAATGTTTACGGTACAAGTTTCTACAATGTTGTTGTTACACAGCTGACACTTGACAGTACCGGTACCGTACGCATCATCACCATCTACCCAATGCCTTATTTTATCCCATGTTTGCAATGCCATATGTGCTATTTTCCATCCTAAAATTTGTAACTTTTTGGGAATATAATAATTCCAGATATCTATCCATTTTATATCGTCTACAGGTATACAAATATATCATCAGCAGAGTACCGGTAGTTGTTCCATAATACAGTAATAGTCCATTTTTCCATATAATAGTCCATTGGTACCGGTATATCCAGTATGTATTTTCAACATTAATCATTAGTACAATATTTATTCATTAGCATTAATTATAATAATGAAAACATAAAAAATTTATTAGTTTCAATACTAAGGATCACTATGCAAAACTAATCAGAAGCTATTATATAAAATATCAAGTTCTCTTGTAAAATTTGGATTTTGTCTACACTTTTCAATATTCCTTCTTGCTATGAGGGAGTTCTTAATTTTCATTATCACATTGTTGACATTAGGATTAACATTTTGGAAAATGACTAAGTTTCTCTCCAACCAAATTTTATGTCTGGCAGTACAAAATAATAGTATAATGGCATTACGTTCCAAGTTTGACAATTGTGAATAACATTGTTGATTCAAATCTAATAAAATACACGTAATATAATTATTTCTCAAAACACAATAATTGATTTTTAAGGCAATAGAATAAACATAATCATACACATCTTGTGTGAATGGACAGTTCCAAAATATGTGTGAAACAAACTCAGGCTCTTGTGAACAAAACACACATAATTCATTGCCAGCAACATGTCTGATTCTGGGTTTTACTTTAAGAGGAAGAACATCCCACATTAATTTATAATTAAAGGATTTTACACCATTGGACAATATTTTACTATGAATATTAGAGCAGGCCCCTTCTAAAGTACCATCTCGAAGAAACACAATTCTATTTCCCCCATTAAGGTTGTTCACTATTTTATTATAAAGTAGCCTATGCTTCCCTTGTTTCAAATCATTCCCTGTGATGTTATGTTGTCTTATAAAATTAATTAAAGCTCCCTAATATTTATGAGGAAAAAATACATGAGTTACACTATTATTCGTAGGTAAATTAAAAAATAAACAAAGTTGTTGACCAATATTATATTCAATAAAATTCAAAACTGATGGTCTATATTGTTCAGCAGTAATATTGATTTTATCATAATAATAGTCAAAAGCAGTCATTATACAGTTATATATAAACACATGGTAAACTTTCTTTTTTTTTTTTTTTTTTTTTTTTTTAATGGGATAATATAATAAATTATAACAAAAAGTATATAACCATTCGAGCAATCATAAGATAAATAATCCAATATTCATTTTTTATATGTCCATTCCATCAGTGTTTGAGGTGTTGATCGCATCGGCATACAATTCATCAATTTTTAGTATATTGAGTTAGATTATGTACAATAAACGTAAAAAATTAAATATATTAGACATGTTCATTCTAATACATACTAAATTTATACACACTAGATTTATAGTTCAAATACAATTCCTTAGTATTTCAAATTCTCTGACAAAATTTGGTGATTTTCTATTTTTTTCAATGTTGAGTCTGTAAGTGATTGCAGTTTTTATTTGTTTGATAACTAGGTGCTGATTAGGGGGATTACCTTCGAATATAACAGAATTTCTTTGTATCCATATTTTATATCTAGTGATTGAAATTAAATAAACAATAATATCTAAATCTCGTCTTGTAATGTTGGAATGTAACAAATAGCTTAAATCCAATAAAACACAAGTTTCATAATTTTTCAAAAGTCTGGCATTATTTAATTTCCTAACTTTCTTATTAATAAAATTATCATGCCAGTATTTTTTTTCATACATTAAAACACAGTCGAAAAATTGAAAACAAACGGTAATCAGCGAAGCGATGAATGGCGCCCATGGTAATAGTGAATGGAGTCCATTTTAGCATAAATGCTACTCTAATTTGAGTACCGGTATAGCTCTGCTAAGACAATTCGTAGGTAGCCTCGTAAACCTATATGATAGCGAACCAGAACAAAGTAAAAAACCACAAACCTTTTTGTTGAGAAAATACAATACTATGGTGCTTTCCACATATTCCAATGTACATGCAAATTAGACAACGTCTTTCTATCAAGTGATTTCTAATGACCGATTATTCTTTGGCATCACACTAGCTTTCTTCATTCCAATTCTTATTAGTTAAAGTATTTAAGATTTAGAAATAATTAATCCAATATGAAATAAATAAGTAACGCCTCACTCTATGAGATCCCTGTTCTGCATGAAGTCGGAGACAGACAATCGCGCTCTGCGGCAATGAATCAAGCTGATGGACGAGTCCAACTGAGATCTCGTAGAATTTTGCAAATTAGTTCTATAATCTGACAGGTTGATATCACGCATATATATTGCAAAAATGTTTAAGTTGGAGTGGATTACTTTTGTGAAAGGATAATTTACATACAACCCCATTTAATTTTCAAATATTGAAAATTACTGTTTCGAACCCGCACTGATATATTCTTTTTATATGAAATTAGCTATAATGCGTTGATAGTTTTGAAGCAAATAAATATCAAACCTCCAGACGAATAAATTTCCTATTGGTGTTCCATGACAAAAAGTAGGGACACTCCTCACTTGTACATATATACATATAACATACAGGGCCGACCTTGTCCTTAGGCCACCGCAACCTATGCGCCACAGTGGGCCCCGCTCTTTCATAGGCCCCACGCTATGTAAATGAAAAATTAATCATTATAAATTATAACCATGTATGTGCAGAGCCTCTATGCCGTCTGTGCTTTAAAGATTTGTATTGATATTGAGAACTTGCATCTTTCAAACATAACCAAATTCCAAGAAAAGTGAAAGGATGATGATGGATCTTGAATGGAATGATGCTATATTTCTAGCAGTTTTGGACCCTAAAGTAGTCAATGTTGTCAATACGGAAGGTCGCTGCTAATATTATTTATTAGTTATTCTTTATTACGCAAAATCCAAAGTACCGAGCTCACGGTGGTCATTTCTTTATTTTCACTACAGTATTTCACTGCATGCTCATACATGCACCCTGACTTATTGCTAACGCGATAGCGAGATATCGAAATAATCTAAGAACGGTTCTGTAATTAAGTCAAAACGACCTTTTGATAAGAATTCTCAAACGAAGTAACAATGTGGGTGCAATATTGTCGCGTTTTATTACAACTACATATACATATGAATTGGGGCTCCCGAAGTATGCGAACCAAGATGGCGGACATCGGAATGTAATATGTGTACTAGGTTAGAGTTAGGCCATAATTTTAGGTATAAATACTACGGGAGGCTCTTGGCTAGTCTTCGAACTGATAATAGGACTAAAATAAGGAAAATTGTAAAAAAATTATCGCCTAACCCTAACCTGTTACCCATGTTACGTTCCGATGTCCGCCATCTTGGTTCGCATACTTCGGGAGCACCTATGAATTTTTATGGATTTCCCCCGAGCATAGATTTCTTTTTTATGTCCGTAACAATAATCAATCAGCAATGATTCAACAATGGCGTAACAATTGTAATTTGCATAGTCGCTCAGACCCTTTTTTGGCCTCGAGCATTGGTGTAAAGCAGGGATCTTCAACCCGTTGACTTCAGTAATGTGACGGTCATTTAATACTCTCCCAATTATGACATCACACAGATGTCACCTTACACTTACACAAACCCGCGTTTTTTCGTGTCCGTTGATTTGTGGGGCACTTTTCGGGGGGTCGCAGAGACGCAGAACAAAAAAAAATTATGTACGACTTTTTGCTATAAAATCTATCCTATTCAGTGATAATAAAATAAATTTATTTATAGGTGGAAAAATTAAAAACGAGAAACAATGAAAACCGATTTCAAGGCATAGGTTTCATCCTCGAATCAAACTAAAGTCTCCCACTTCATAACACTCTTACCACCATAACATCTTACCTGGTGACAGCACGCATTTTATTCTGACTATAAGTATTTTATTGTCCTGCCTATGAGGCGACGCGCATGCATATACAAATATTCGAATTCTTTCCCGGTTCAGTAACGTTGGACTTAGGGTTGCCAACTTTGGGTTAAACCATTCCGGGACACCTTAATGTCTAGAATTTTGAAACAGAAGCTTGTGAAACACGAAGCACGTCAAAAGCAACAGTGCGCGTCGTGCAGCGTTATTTTCACAAACTGTAAACAATTTTATCATAATCAAAGAACTTGTGAAATCTTGACTCCTTGACGCATAAATGCAAAAAAAACTAAAACAGGGGAAATGTACAATTTGTGCTAATTAGATTAAATTATTTAACAAAAAAAACACAAGAAAGCAGTTTTTCTGCTATTTATTTATATTTTTATTGTGATTTTGTCGATTTAAGAAGATCTTTGTTAGTTATAGTTCTTTACGGAAATATAATAATTAATGAACTATCGCTAAGACAGAGCTGTCAGCGGGACGTCCTAAAACAGACGGCCGTGCGAGCCTGAAAACTGACTGAATAATGAAATCCTCCTCATAAAAGAGACTCACACTAACAGTGCATTATTAACTAGAAACAAGAAACGCAAAATATTGTTACACGCCGCAACTTTATTAACTATATTTTTCAACAAATCTCACTGGATCAAGTTTTTGATCTTTTCAAATTAGGGTGGCTGCTGTAGAGTGGTTCACGTAACCGCTGGTCGGTTACGGCTTCCCCTACCATAAAGTCAATGCTTCCGAAAACAACTGGCTAACTAATTCTATACCCGACCTGGACTTGTAACCATTATTACTTTCCATAAAAATTTCGGTTAGTTTGATTTAACAATTAATAACCATCCGGATATCCAGACTTTCTTTCATCACTTTTCCCGCCCAGCTTTCCATCGTGATGTCTTTCAATGGCTTGGATGACTGATCCAGGTGGATTATAATAATAGGTGATGTGATTTTTATCTTCCAGACCTTGAACAATGTTCTGAAATAATAAAACAACTAAATTTTGGCATTCTAGGATCATTCGATCTATGGCGCTAGGATAAATGAAACTGAACCCCATGGCAAAGATATTCGTAAATATGTATATATGAATAAAAATAATAAATAAATGAGTACTTCCACAACTGATAAAAAAAATATTCTCAATCCTTATAAATGAAAGGTGCTTTGCGAATTGCGGAAATGTTATCTTCAATAGCAATCAACTTCAATAACCCTATAAAAATTTATGTCGTTTGGGTACTTGGTAATATTTCAGCTTAAGGTCATAATAAATATTTCCCAAAGTCATCTAAACTATGATGTTTGTTTTATAATTACCATATTGAGCACTATCTGGTATCAAGCTACAGAAAAAATTGCAATTTCTATTGATCGATCAAGTAATCTTTTTGGAAAAATAGTTTAGGTCAATATTGTTTTAGAAATAGTATTCAAATGAAGATATTGGAATATATGTTAGTTCCACCCATTCTAAGCGTATATTCTTTGCGCAGCACCCGCTGACACATGACGTTTTTATTGTAGCGTAGCCTATATAATATATACTGCAGAAGTTTGTTCGTATCGCTTTGACTTCGCGGTGCTGATATTTTCAAACATTCGAACCAATCCCACTAGTTTTAACGACCCGGAATATGATACGTTGCCAGTAAAAACAGCAACTCTTGTTTGCTCTAATACAAAATTTCTACTTTGTAATTTTGATATCAACTGAATTGTTAGAAATATTAGTCGATTATCATATCTCTTTCTTCCAGAAAAAAAATATACATATAAGATATGAACTCATTTTTACGGCATCAAATCCCATTTCATATTGTGCGACTTCAGGAATAAGTTGATGATGCAACCTTTTCATTGAAACAGCTCCATCAATTCGCTTTCCAAACCACAAATTATTCATAATTGTCTAAAAAAACAAAATATCCAGAAAAACAAAACAAGAACATCATTTTTCAAGAATGTATATAGCTATTAATCAGGCATAGGCACATGATCCAGACATCACAATATTTATCGATAATATAACATGGAAAATATGTAGATTAGATATACTTTTACACCATAATCCACTGATATATTGATATAATTGACGTAGCAAGACAGTCACCTAAACTCACAAAAATATTATGGAAATCATGTTCATAAATTTAAGCCCATCTTTTATGCAATTAATATTGGAAATAATACTTTCACGCTGCCATTTATACACTGCAATCACGTAATAACAGGCTGAAAAATACAGGAAAAAAATTATATCATAAAAGTTTTCTGCTATGTGGAAATAAATGTAAAATGCGCGTAAAACTATCTTATCTTATCATTGGATTAAAAATTTTGTGCCTCCGTAGAATGTTTTACAATGGAAATTATGGCGACACTCACCAACGCAGTTCCTGTCGTTTGTTCCTCCAGACCCTCCTGCTACTATTTTGACTGCAGACTGGCCTGGATGCTTTTTGTTCATTACAATTGTAGGTGACATGGAAGAGATTGGACGTTTCCCCGGTTCAATATAGTTTGTTGGCGATGGTTCAACACCTTAGAAACACATAAGCTATTTATAAAGACGATTATGATTTTCAAATTCTTTACTGCTAAGTCCAGGAGTAAGTCCAGTAAATTGATGCGTTTGGTACATTAAATCTGAAAAAAAATAATTGTAGATAACGAGTTGCTTGATTCACGAATCCCCCTGAATCATCCGTAATTATATACTCACACCTCAAAAACCTCTGTGAAACACTTACTGGAAATAAGATTTTCCTGAATCAGTCATGAATGATAAATAAGAATAATATACTGTATATACCTTTCAGACGGCATGAAATGTAAGTGGTACAGATTGAGTCAACGCCAAATAAAGAACATTAGGGTATATTCAATATTTATAGGTAATGTGCTTTTTGTGTTTTAGTATTGATTCCGATGCTTCGAATCAATTTCAAATAACTGTTGATTTCACTTTTATCGGTATATATTAAATATGAATTTTGTCGAACTTACCGGTACGTCGTACTAATTCAACTTACCGAAAATATTAGTGATATTTGGTGAGGAAAAATCGTCCATTTCATTATTAAATATTATTCCGGTTCGAAACCCTCGTACTGAAGATCCAAAACTTAAAAAAATATCAAGTTTGGCTCAGTCATTTGCCCCAAGTAACTGTAACAGTTTTACGTAGGCAATTAGGTATGTACGCATAAAACATCGGAAAACAATAAATTTAAATAATAAGCTGAAATTTGTGGCTTCTTTCAAATTTGTAGAACTACACAGTTTTGTGCGTACTGCTGCAAAATCGTGAAATCGAATAATTTGAAACTAATACAAATGATTAGAAAATGATCTCACTATCCATTTATTGTACTTGTAATTGATATTGCGCTTCCATATTCACCAACTATGCTCAAGTGAGCTGTTTCAGAATCATCAGGTTGAAGAACAAAGTCAGGCTCATAATATTCTACGTCTTGAGTCCACGAGTCGTTTATTTTCAAACGAGTTTCTTCAGCAAACACATCAGAGGTCAGATTTGAAACAAGCTGTGAATGAAGAAAAATATGAAATGAACTAAGAATGCGGAATAACCTACAAAACTCCTGGGTTGACATTCGATCACTATATTTCACATTATTTTACAATTAAGTAAAGGTATTCGTTCATAAAATGTAGTAACAATGCAATAAATAAATATTGAGAATAACCTCTATGCAATATATATATTGTATAGATCAAAACAAGCAATATTATCCACGGTACGCACTAAAGTTATAAAACCCATTTCCGGTAATGCAAAGAAGGCGTCCTGCATATGCGAATCGGGCTTGTCCGACCGCGAGTCATGCTTTTGCCATAATAGGCTAGTACCGTAACAAAATTTTATTTTCTAGCTATTTGGACAATCTCGGATTTGATTGAACACCCGTGTTGAAACATACTTCAAATTTATAGTATTTGTAATTTCAGTTGATATGGGATGGATACTGCGTAGTAACCTCGCGTTGTTGAGTTATTGCTGTCCATTATTAGGCTGGGATCAACAAATTGTAATTTCTTCTTACATTTTTGTGTTACAAATTAGGTTTAGTGCATTGATCTATTCGATGGTATTTCTATATACGTTTTCTGAAATATTTTATTCTTACTGCTGTTATATTTTAATCAAAATTTTCGTCCCCCAGTTGAGTTCTTTCGGCATATGCAAATTTGAAGGCTTCTAATATTCGATGATAAGTTAGTACTTGATCTTCAGTGGATTTCATACTTTCCTCATTAAAATTGTATCCTGAAAAATAAAATCATTTTTAACATTCACTGTATTTCTTTCCGTTTAAACTCTACTGTCATATACATCAATGGATTTGGAGCAAGTTGCGGTAAAACTAGATCAAAAATAAAGACACGTTGAAATATCAAGTTATATTCGTTTATTCACCTTTTAGAATGTTCAATATGTAGCAAAGTATAGGACCGCCGCTTGGAGCACCGGGTGTAAAAACAGTTAGATCCCCAATAGAAATGTTGATCAATGGCTTCACCTCAGCTCTAAATTACAATAAAATAGCCATTTTAAATAAAATATTCTCATCCATATAACATTAACTCTATATGATATTCAAGCTACACACATACGATCCACTACGTCAACCTATTTTGCCTCCGTCTCTACCCGTCATCCTCACCTGTACGATCTCAAGTCGTCTTCCGTTATTATTGACGGTCCTCCTGGTGCGTCTTTAAGATCTTCTATAATACGACGGGCGAGTGTTCCATTATAAAACGTTGGAGCACCCTCTGAAGCAATTATACGAAAAGTTGCAGCAAGTGCAGTGTTTGTTATTTTGTCTCCTTCCTTCTTCAGACTTCTATTTGCATTTGTAAATATTGGCCTACAAATAATTATGAATTACTAAATGAAATATTTGCCAATGGTTGTCTTGGTTATTTAAAATGAAGAAAAGGCTACGCCTTTGATTTGAATGAAAAATAATAAGGCGTTCAATTTCATAAATGTCGCCACCGGCCAATAAAGAGCAAGCAACCCTCTCAAATTTAACAACACTGTTTAGGCAATATAAGCATCTTGCCAGTATCGTAAATGAATTTTCATGCCCAGGCATGGCTATACCAAAATAATCGTTTTGTTTGTCACAAAGCTGGAATCATATTTGCTTAAAGTGGAATATCGTCACACTATTAAAAAAATTGCCTAAGTCACTTTTTGTCGATTTTGAGATTTTGGTATCGCTGGATTCGTTGGGGAAAGATCTATCTTTCTATGTTATTTAAACATTCATATCTGGTATAAATAAGCCGCTAGGGGGCAAAAACGAATCTGCCTATCTCAGGAAGTGGACTTAGGCAGATTTTGGTTTTGCCTAAACTGACTATAATTGAGATAGGCACATTTAAACACGCCTATCCGCATCCAGTTTTTGTACGTTCTGGTGTCGTTACGACACTCTTCGACTAGCAACGCTTTCTGGTTCAAGTAGGGTGTACTGAAACATAAATATATTTCAACATCTGGACGCTACCGGCAAGTAATTGTAGTGATCGAATATCAACAGTATGGAGTCCAGGAAGCTGAGAAACTATGCTCTACTTGGAAATGCTTCTGCAAATGATAGTGTCACACGTGGTAAGTTATTGAACGCCAAAAAATGCGGATTTATTCGGCGATAGTAGCGAGCGATCTTCATATGTATTCGTATTTAATTTTTACAGATGAGGTGAATGAAGTTGGAAGTTTTATAGAGCTTCAGCTCGATGGTTGCGAGGGGGATTCCGATGCATATTTATATAGTGAAAGTGGGTATTTACCGTTTCACGAAGTACTGGATATTGATGTAAGTCTCGATAATCTGGACACGACGAGTATTTCGGACAATACCAATGAAGGCTCTACAAGATCAGATGGCACTATTGAAACCTATGACGAGCCCTCACCTAACCGAGAAAAGAGACCAGTGCACGATAAATGGAGACAAAATAAAGGAAAAATCAGGCGCCTCCGTGGAAAATCATATAGAAACTGGAAAGGAAAGAATGTGCCCAATCGTCAACCAGGGCCACCATGTAGATCTGCATTCTGTAGCAAAGTCAAAACTCGCCAGTGTAACGTTGTAGATGAAGATCAAAGACTTGCTATGTTCATTAAATTTTGGTCTATGACGACTTGGAATGAACGCAAAATATTCATAAATACTCTGGTTGGGACACACGAGGTTAAACAACAAAGATCATCCGGTGTATCTAGGAGAAAATCTTCATATGTTTACAAACTAAAGCTTTCGAATGGTTCTGAGCTGCCAGTCTGCAAAGAAATGTTTGCTTCCACGTTTGGGATGCCTTGCAGAACTTTGGTATCTTGGATTAAAGATAAAACCTTTTCTAACCAAACAGCTGTTGTTCAAGCAGGTCCGAAAGTGGAAAGTGTGCAAAAGTAAGTGAAAGGGATAGAGAGTTTATAAGAGAGTGGCTCAGCATACTACCAACTGTAGACTCCCATTATTGCAGAAAATTGCCAAGTTACAGAAACATAAAATTTTTGTATCCAGGCAGTGCAGGCACCACAATATCTGCCCTCCACAGACATTACCAAAATGTTGCAGAGGAAGAAAACAGGAGGGTCCTTAGAGAAGCTTATTTCAACGAGATGTGCTTTTATGTCCTAGAACGAGAGCTAGTACCTCATATTACAGAACTAAGCTACAGGTACACAATTTCACTTTATATGATACGAAATCAAAAGCAGGTTACTGTTACGTCTGGAATGAAACTGAAGGCAATCTTTCTAGTGAAGTATTTGCTTACTTGTAGTTTGAGCATTTTAAGCGAATCATTTGTAATAATCCCGAGCTGAAGCATACCATAGTTTGGAGCGATGGATGTGGTTACCAAAATAGGAATAGCACGGTAGCCAATGCATATTCTAGTCTGGCAAGAACTCACAACATAGATATAGAGCAAAAATTTTTGGTGGCTGGACATACACAAATGGAATGTGACTCGATGCACAGCGTCATTGAACGAAAGATCGTAGGCGACATTTTTTCTGAAAGAGATTTGATCGTACTTATGGAATCCGCAAGAATCCATCCATCACCATATCATGTTTGCCAAATGAGGCACACTGATTTCAAAAAAATGAATCAATTGTTCCTTCAAAGCATTAGACCCGGGAAAAGATTAGGAGATCCCAGAGTGCATGATTTGCGTGCCCTGAAGTACGAAAGTGATGGTAGTATTCGTTACAAGCTTTCGTTTGAGAAATCAATTTGGAAAGCGCTACCACACCGTGTACAGAATGTTCAAAGTCAATGGGTGCCAATGTTCAGATCTCGTATTCCAGTTTGTGCAAGGAAATTTAATGATCTTCAAGAAATGAAATCAATTATGCCAATTGACTGTCATCCTTTTTATGACAACCTTCCTCACGAGTAGATTATACAAACTTAAATGAAGTATACTACTATGAATTCATGATTACAGTTGTTTGTTTATGTTGATGTTTTAGGTTCAAAAGAGTTATTTATGTTTTGATTCTATTATATTGTTTGTTGCTTGAGTTGTGAAATTTTACATTCCTTGTATCAAGCGAATACAATACATCTGGCCTGTGGGTTGACATCTATCCTAATGTTCATCAAAGCCCAATTATGATTGAGGAGGAATATCGAATTTTGTCTTGGCTTTCGTGTCATATTAATTTAATGGAAGTCACCCTCTCATTATTTGCCGAATGGACTTTTACAAAGTATATAGGTCAAGCGAATGTACAGAGAAAATATAGGGTGAAGATGTGAATAATATTGCCTAACTCAGGGTGCGGGAATAAAAAAATGCCTAAGTCAATTTTAGCGCATATAAAATAGAATTTGGAAGTTATAGATATCCTAAAATAATTAAAAATTTGATAAGATAAATCTAGATAAAAAAAAATTTTGAAATAGATTGAAAAATGGGAAAGTTATGAAGTTTTTTTTTAATTTACTCAAAATGTTAAAATTAGACTTAGGCAATTTTTTTTATTAGTCTGACGATATGCAAACATTCCACTCTTCAACGCAAGCACAATAAACTTCAATGTAGAGAAATTCGCCGGAAACAAGGGTCCCCACGTACTACATTTCTGCCTTGGTTGATCAAGGCAGCACATGAGTACAACGTAAATTACAGTAAAATATACCCAAACTGAAATCCATTTGACATTTTACTGAATGCGGTTTTAGTTAACGTCTCGATGAAGTCATAGTCAAATTCTATTTAGCATTTGACTACTTAAATTGAGATTGGAAAGGTATGCTCTGACTTTAAGTTGTGTTTCGTTTCGTTTACGTAATGTTTTGAGATACATATAAACGAAGTCAGTACAATGATACATACTTGAACAAAATTAGAGTAAATAACAAATTATACAGTTTTCTTTTTATAAAATGATAAAATTGCATATTATAATTATTAATAATATAAGGAAACATTTTACGTTGTTGCGCTGAAAATGGTTATGTTATTGAAATTGATTTATTTGTTTTTTTCACTTAATATATAGAAAACCAAATAGGGCCATTCGTTTCAAACGGAAACGTTTACTGAATGATCCACTCACTCGAGATTGTACTCAATTTTTGGTACAGTAGATTTGTAGTTTATTGCACCAGATAACGCTGAATTAACAAGAAATCCGTTTGTTGCCAACTAGATAGAAGGTTCAAACAATTCTTCCCATTTCAATTTACCGAAACGTCTGTGTGCTTCCCAATATCCGGCTATTTCTCCGGGAACTGCTATTGCCAAAGCACCTGTATGTGAAATATGAACGTGAAGTAAAATACCACGTGATGATCGGTGGTAGCCTTAAAAAACGTTGGACCAAATTAATATTTAAATTAGATTCGAATGATTTCATAACCGAGGTGGATGTGAACTCGCGGCATCTGAAATACTTGGTAGCTGTATTGAATTCAATGATGCGTGCCTGCCAATAGTCGACAGGTCTGGATCTCCTTTAAACATGTCTTCCGTAGCTGCAAGCGGAGCAACTTCTCTAGAATTGATAAATACTGCTTCACCGGTTGAGGCATCATAAATATTCATGAATGATCCTCCACCAATTCCTGTACTGTAAAAACAACAATTTTGAAGTAGTAGTTTGAATAAATATCAAACTGTCCAGATCTTAATGCACGAAAACGTTTTAAAAATGAATAATTTTGAACACCATTGGTTTGTTTCGGTTAATGATTGCTGTTGAATGTTGAAAATTGCACCATCACATGCATTCACAGCTGAATCGATTTTTGGAACTTGTACCTACTGAACTTGTAATGTATCTGCTTATTTACACATCATTTGAAGTATTACACATTGTGCATTGATGACTATGAATTGTATTAAAGTGTTTGGCCACCCTCTCAACATTGTTTTAGTTTGAAAATCGACTTAATTGGTCGAATGCAAAAAGTATCTGAAATGAATATTCGTGAAGCATATTCCGGTAAACAAGCTTTCAACAAAGTTTTCAATATCAGTTTTTATGATCCTGTTTTTATGTTCAATTCTACAGTCATTCGTTCAACTATTTTAATATATGGTTAAAAATTAAAAAAAATAAATAGAAATATATTTAAATAGTGAAGTTTGACAAATTTTTAAAACTTTAGGACCATGAAAATAAATGTCTCAGTTGCTATAAAAACAAGCAAGCCGTGGTACAGATAAAAAAAGAAAGATGTTCTCCATAGAGTTATAGTATGAAGGATGGCCTAGGTCAGATATATGAACGTCGTTTGGATTTTTCGTTGCGTATCAAATTTGTTATTCAACTTTAATAAATCATTCCGCACATAATGATAAAATTGATAAACGCATTCAATTTAATGGATAATTTCAGGTTTCGATCCCGTTCGACTTTGTGAAAAATATTTTTGGTGCTCGGACAAGCCTAAATTTCATAATGCGAACCTCTTAGTCCCACCACACAGTAAATTACCAAACAGTACACATACTATATGAAAAAAATTTAAAGCATTGATCGTTTACATAAGGATAATATGCCAACAGATACATAAAATACCTTATATTCAAGTTAACTACCTGTGGCAATTGTATAATCCTACACACAACATGGCTCCAATTGCTGCGTCCACGACCGACCCGCCCTTCTTCAAAATATTTTTGCCAATCACTGAGCAAGGTCCACCATCAGTAGCAACAGCTGCCGAATTGTATTCTCCGAAAAGAGGATATTCCTCATTGGTATGTTCCCCATTTTCATTGTTATTACATTGTGGAGGTAACCCAAAGTACAAACCAAAAAATAAAGCTAATCCAACCAACAGGCCTATAAGAAGACCTAGTCCGAGATACGCACGAGATCCAGAAGTCATAACTAGTCTCTGAATATAAAATTATCTGACACTTTTGAGTAATTTATGATGCGGAGAATACTGTGAGCAATAATCAATTGAAGGAATATTTTTGTTAAATAAGGAATTGAAAGTCACTTTTGGATTACCGAACACCAGTTTTACCCGAACAGTCACTCATTCTTCCAGAATATTCATACATTTATATATACCCAAAAATAGATGTAATTCAGATGATAAATCGATCTTTATGATTAGGTGCAAATGTATCTCTCATTTAATATTTTTTTATTTTTTATTTATGTACAATTTGATTTGAAAAGCTTGAGACGAGTCGCGGCAATTTAACATTCACACATCTTGTTTGTTGACAGAAAATTTCGCAAAGTCTGATTTAAATACATTGCCTACAAATCTTCAATTCCATTATTTTCGTTGTTCGTTCGTTTTCAGTATTGCAAACTGAATGCTCCCTATTCTGACTCGCATTGGTCGCATACCCCGACGTCACTTTTTTTCTTACTCACATGACAACACCAAATGCCATCGACGCTTCCTTAGGTATCTAGAGAAATTAGGGCGAATAAAATAGTTTAAAGATTTGTGAGGTCGCAATGCAAATAGCGATTTTGATAATATTCAGGATTTGAGGTCACTAACCTATTGTAGTGTGTGGTAAAATTATAAAATTGCTATAAACTATTGTTGCTTGTCGCGGGGGACGCATTTGTAGTATTTAACAATTGGGGTTACGTGAAACTATCTACCTATCCTTGCTCTTTGTAGTATTTGTTTGTTTTTTATTGTAAACATCGGCTGGCGAGAAACTTGCGTTGCACGAAGCCAACGTTTAGAAAAAAAAGGGGTCATGCTACTGTTTATCGCAAAGGGTCGAAACGCAAATTTATGGTGCCGCTAAAGGACGGCCCTTAAGACAACTATACGGTATTTATCAATCGGAAATTGAGTTTGCAGTTGCTCATCTTTAAGCTTATCCCTGAAGTTTGCCATTTTTAAGAACAAATGCTCACAGCATTATGTGCAGCTTTTTAGATCAACATTTACTTGTGACTTTATTCTACTTCAAAATTTTACAAAAGCTCTGCTATTTCTCCGGAAACATTTTTCGAAAAATATCTCCAAGCTGTTACTGGCATTGTCACACGATTCTGTGGTATCTATCAAAGTGTCTTTCACAACAGCTTTTTAATCACAACATGGTACGAATAAAGTAATATCACTTCTTGTATCCCTGTCGTACAAATCTTTAACATAGTGTAATACAACATCAAATCGCGTATATTTTCTTACATATAAATCAAAAACTTTCAAACGTACGTCAAACGTCAGTGCTAACTTTGTTACGGGCCACGTAAATATGTTTCGTGGGTCGTACAGCGTCCCGCGGGCCGTATGCTGCACACCTCTGATGTAGGGTCTGCGCATCGTCGCTACTGTGCTTTAGCTAGACATACAGCTACTGATATTGGCACTTACTGCGTGTTATTCTTATTTAAAATCCTCTCACTTTGCTAACAAACTTTACAGACCAAAAGATTAGGGAAATAAGAATATAATATAATGTAATATATTTATATTAAGTATTCAAAGTACAGAAATCAAGCCACAATGAAAAGGTCGTGCATCTAGTGTTATTGCCTCTTTCACGTAAATTTCTACTTCCAATGGTCAGCTTGCTCGAATAATTGAAGTGATCTTTTTCTCGTTTTTGTCAGCAAAAGTCACAACCTTCCACATGAATTTCGCTGACACTGCAACGGTCATATTAGTCGTTCGATGATAATATATTTGAGCAGTGATCGTTCGTTTAAAGTAAACTATACAAATGACGATGTTTATCAGATTAACGGGATAGTTTTGATGTATATTACTTCAATCTTGTAGGTGCTTGGGTATGAGAGGTGCAAACTTGAAAAATAGTCTCAACTCCCCCACCTACTCTTGATCTCTCAATAACATTATTATTGTTACTATTTATATCCTCATACACTACGTCGTTTTCGTCAACATCTTGCAAACGCATCCTGGAATCGGCAGCTTTCAATTTCTCTTTATTTCGTTCTGCTAATATTTCTTTTATCATTGCATCACGTTTTCTGATTTGATAAAGAAGACCAAGCGTCAAAAGTAAGAAAGCAACTGCGAACAGAGCTAGAAGCACAAGAGCTGCAGTGTTGTCGGTTGCTGACGCGGCTTTTACATGTCTGTTGATTTGTCTCTCGTTCTTAGGCTCTTTGTAAATGAATGAGTGTTCGGATGAATTTGGTCCCAAAGTGATGAGCCCATCAGTAGAACTCCATTTTATGCACACAATTGTTGCTCTTGTTTCGTTTGTGCTGGAAAGTGCTGACTTTTTGTATTTCCTAGAATCCTTCATGTTTTTCACTGTTGGTTTCACCATCAACGACAAATCCAACTTAGTCATTCCAGTACTACTAGAGGTTATTGTCATATATTCTAGTTGTGACCTGATAATCTTTGCTAAACGGTCTAAAAAGTTGCCACGTCCAGATGTCACTGAGTTAGGTGTTGGCGAAGTAGAGCTAGGCCTATAATTTTCCCCGTTTGAGATAGAGATTGTGTCATCCTCGCTTTCTGTTGTTAGTTCCCGTCGAAAAATACGGTGAGGTGTGGCAGTTGTCATTCTTCTTCTTACGTTCGTACGCGTTCTCTTGTTCAAAATACCAGTTTGAATATTTTTTCTCCTATGAAACTTTGAAGCTGTTCCTTTACGATTGAGTTTCCCGGAAGGAGTAGGGGTTCCTGTCCTGGGTGCCTCAGTTGTTCGCGCCCGATTCCACATTTGTGATTTCCTTTCCGAGTAACGAACTGTTGTTTGTTGTCGATGATTTGTCATTGGTGTCGTTTTAGGCCGACGCATAAAATTTTCCCGGTTATTAATATTCCCGGCGGGTGTGGGCTTCAAGATTTTAGAACCACCCGTCCTGGTCCCGCGTCTGAATTGTGGTCTGGTGGTTGCTTTACTGTTTCTGATGGATGGAGGTTTAGGAGACATCCTTTGAACCGGTTTCCTCCGTGCTAATCGAGGATTGGGAGTCGTTTGTCGTTTTCTATATGATGCTGTTGTCGGTGCGGTTGCACGTCGCATATCGTAAGTATCCGTTACCAAACGACGAAATGGGCGTGTTGTGTACATTTTTCTCTTTGGTTGAATGGTAGGCCGCTGAGGGAGATTTGATCTTGTGGTCATTTGCCATGGCCTGGTATTGTCCTGCTCATACGACTGCCGTGTTGCAGGAAAATATGTAGATTTGGGAGCAGAAAAAGGTTTCATGATTGTCCATTCAGCTTCATATACTTCTCTGCACCACCAAGGCACATTTTTGTTCTGTCGTGAAATACTGGAAAACCGCACATTGTAGGATGATTTTCGAAATAATGAACCTTCAAAATATTTATAAACATAGGTTTGTCACATATTCAAATATTAACACGTTGAAAAGAAAATCGATGTATTCCATTTTGGACCTAATTAACACATTAGCTGGGTAAATGGGATTAAAGTATAATTGATCACAAACAGACTGAGCGTTGGAAATTGCAATGAATACTGACTGATAAACCATTTTCTTCAGATCAACATACTCTCTCTCACCTTTAACGTATTTTGAACAATCCCATGTATGAAATCTTCTTTGCGATCGGCAATGTCTTTTATCCGGACCTTCGAAATCGAAAACATTTTCATTTGCTACACCAGTTCAATGATAAGATTATTTATATATGAAAGCGTTAAACTGTTACGATATGTAGATATGAATTTCATTTGGTGATGACTCCACGAGCACCCAAGAATCATAACGAGTGTCATTCACTGTTCGAAAAACGTTGTTGTAACTGGACAAGACCGGGAATTCCTGTAGGATCCATTCAACTATTCAGTTATCAATGTTATTATATCTATTTTGGCGTATTTGAAAAATATATCTTTCTAAAAAATTATAAAATAAACAATCAAGTTCATTAATATTTCTATTATTTCATGTTGTGTCATTATTAATTTAAAAATCATAACATTTACTTACCTACGCAAGAAGCGTACATCATAAGATATCCTATGAAATTTTGCTCATAAATTCCACTGAGTAGATGTGACATGGGTCCCCGAGCCATCACTGCAACGTCGGTCGAACTATGAGTTCCGGACTGGAGTGGTATTGCAGAAGGGAACTCAAAATCCATTTGAACTAAAAAAAGATATTTGTCAAAATTGAATTCAAAATTGTGCATGAATTTATATAAAAAGATTCTCCCGGAGGAACTTTGAATTATGACGGAAACATCGCAAACTTAAATTTGTGACTTCTGTCGGATATTGGAGGCATAGGATAACACTAGTCTAATACCTATTTCTTCAAAATAAGAAAAACACTGTTTAACATGGTACTTGGCGGTGCATTCCAAAATACCAGAAAATCCATTTCACACTATTCTTAAAATATGAGTATTGAAGTTAAAAGTGAGCAAAATAACGTAATACATGGTGAAGTATGAGTAAATAATTACATGACGCAGACGCATGTCTATTGAGTCTTCTATTTCCACTATTTCCCAACCAATCATTTCCAGTCCCGTATACAATGCTTGTGTAAGCCACATCGTCCAACGCTTTTGAGGGTTTCTCGTGATCATCAGCAAGTCCTGTGAAGGTGAAAAACTTGCCATAAATCTCAAATCAAGAGTTCAAAATTACACAAAAGAACGAAACTTCAACATAGCGTAAGATACTGTGCGGAGCATCCTGAACTATAGAAGTTAAATAGTTATATATATTCATATATTTAATTATTTATAACCAAGATAACAGTCACTCAAACTTCAAATTAGAATTTGAAAATCTACAAAATGTTAGTTTTGTTGCCATTTTCGATATTAGCATATTATGATAATTCGCTGTTTTATTTTAAAATCAATGCATTTTGGTCAATTTTCAACTTCTGGATAATTATTGATGAAGGTTCGTTGAAGTATTAGGGCAGATACCTAAAACCTAATATACTTTATATAAACATACCAGTTATAGGATTGCCGCGAACAGCATATCCCCCTGCAGTAAACATGTGACCATGATCCGCAGTTACAACGATCAGCGTCTCGTCTGAATTTGTCATACGAGTTGCAAGCTAAAAATAAAAGGTGTGGATAAGCAACCGTGGAAGTATATCAATGTAAAAATATGTTATTCTTACGCATCTCTGATTACTCTGCGTGGGTTCGCAGGTTCGAATCCCATGCGGGGATGGTTATGTGCGAGAGGATTGCTAGACTCCTCGTCGCCGCTGGGTGGTCCACGTAACCGCTGGTCGGTTAAGGCTTCCCCCACCACCGAGTCCAAACAAATATATATATATAACTAACTAATCCCATACCCGACATGGAATGCTAACCGGACGAGAGGCAGTGGCTCGCCATATGGTTAAGCCGACTTATAGGCTTTCATCTCCACCCGGATAAATATGTAAATTCTATCCTATCCTAATAGCAAAATTCAACTTGTGAATTTTCTTTTTTTCTTCATTGCTTCCGTATGTCGTTGTTATTACTTATCGATTTTAATCGGTAAGTATGTTGATAGGTATTTGTCTGTCTGTATGTCCTTCTGGTTTTATTTGGTGTAAAGTATGTTTTCTAACCAGTTGTCATTCATTTCCTTGATCGACGTTTATTTTATTTATAATTAAATTCTCTCACCTTCACTGCATCATCTAATGCTGCAAACTCAGACAACGCAATGTTGGCTTTTGCAGAATGATGTCCATGATCTATCTTTCCTCCTTCTACCAGCAAAAAATAACCATCCCTGTTTTTTCTTAATATTTCGATAGCCTAAAATTCAAAAGTAGCATGAACTTCTCGAAAAGTAACAGGACAATTTTTAAGAAGTATTCAGAAAATTTTACGTTTAGATTAATAATATTTACATGGATTTGCAAACGTACCTTTGCTGTCATTTCAGCCAAACTTGGTTCCCCGGCAAGATCATTTCTTCTGTCATGTTCAAATCTCATATCTCCCGGTTCGAATAATCCGAGCAAATTATCGACGTTTGTGGGATCAACATTGTCAAATCCTTTTTGATCCCAAACATACCTAATTGAAAAAATATATGGATAAAAGGAGATGGATTTTTTGAATTCAATTTCTAGGACATATATTTAGATATTCTCCTTGAAACCGAAATATGATGTATACATCATATCCGTGTACATATCATTACATTACAAGCAATGGAACACCAAGTACAATATATCTAAGCCATATTATAAGGTCGGGGAGTTAGTTACTTTGCTCTATCAGATCCTTCTAATTTGATCCATTCTTTAATCAAGTTTCTGTTGTCGTTTCGTCCACCGAGTGAGTCGTCCACGTCACCGTATTCCTCGTCTTTATAACCCTTTGGTCGCATGAAAGCTCGACCTCCGCCAAGAAGTACCTAGATGTGATACGAAATAGTTCTCACAGTTTATCCTCGTCAACATTGAAAAAAAAAGTAGAGCTCAATAATATTATATGTCCATTTTTTTCTGGCTGTTAAAGAATGATAAAAATACCAGGCAAACTGCGATCATCCATTCGCCACCAACCATTTTTGCAACCGTGTTGCTCAAGTTTTGCAAATGGTCACTTTGAGCGGGCGACAGATAGCGGTCTGGGACAGTAGCCGATTCTCGACACGCAAAAACGGTGTAGGAGGCAACCAGAGACTGTTAATTTGTGGATCTAGAAATACCTACATTAATTTTTCGTCCATGTTCAATAAGTTGTGAACCAATATCTTTACACCCATTTAATTTTGCTTCTTCTGTCAAGTCTGCGTCAGTTTTCCATTGACGGTTTGGTGCGTGGGCGTACGCACTTGCTGGCGTTGCGTGGGTGAGGTAAGTTGATGTCACTATTCCAGTGGATTTACCTACAGAGGGAAAATATTAAAAATTCACAATTTACTTTGTCAAATTTTCAGTATTTTGCATGGCTGTTACAAGTATGATTCGAGTTGCAATAACGCAATTAGGCAGAATGTTGTAATATAAAGCAAACCATTTGATTAGACATCCAATTAAATGCCATACATATATCCTCTATTTTTCGCTAACATGAATGAATATTCGAGCAATTGATTTAATATAATGTGAAGCAATTTTCAATGTCTTTAAAAGTTGTTATTGACTATATATAAAATATTAAAATTGCTTAAAATATAATAAATATAATACAACCTTAAAATTGAAATTAATAATTTAATGGATTTACTCTCCGTACATTGAAAATTGTTGAAATATGTTGCTTGGTAAGAAAAATTAGCAGAAGTATTCTATAGGAAATATCAATAATAAATTAAATTCGGTTCAAAGAATTATATTTCAAAAGTATTGTTTCGTGTTTATTGGATGCCAAATTTCGACGTTGAATTGTGAGTGTTAAAACTATTACATTAATATATAGAGAAATTGTGGACCTCCGAAAGTTTGCACACCAAGATGGCGCACAACCTGAACTCAGGTTGTGTACCAGGTCCCGGTTCAGGTTATGCGACATCTTGATGCGCATACTTCAGGAGTACCGAAATTGTTTTAGCTTTGGACGTTTTATAAAGAAGAATTCCATCTTACCTTGGTCCGCTGAATATTCTAAAATCGTCTTAATTTCGTTTCCAATACTCGATGAACAGTTATTGTGTACAGCTTGTCCACTCAAACCAACCATTTTACTGTTGGTTTTAACTCCAGTGTTCAATGCTGTTCCCGTGCCTGCACTGTCCGGTGCTTGGCTATTTACTGAAATATAATATGAATACTACTAATAATACAAAAATATACCACAAAGTCTATCAAGCCGATTGCAATCTTTCTGATATTTTTCTCATGTTATTATCAGGGATTTAGCGATTAGTCATTACAAAAATGGGACAGGATTTGCGATGAAATAACAGATGTAAAAAAACGTAAGATTTACCCTGAAACGAAACCAAATCTTATCTATTTGCTACTTATAGTGTTCGTGCATGCTTTTGCATTCAATACTTACATGTATAAACTTTACTCAGTCCAACGTAAGGAAATTTATCCATAGTTGTCTGAAATTCTTCTCCAGAAGTTCCGTACTTTTGTCCTTTGTAAATTCTGCCTGTTATATACGTGAAATTCAATGTTAATAATATGTATTCAATATATAACCTTCTGATTCTAAATTTCTTCGCCGCAAAATGCTTACCCGCTGTCATTGTTGCCACATCCATTCCATCTCCAATTATCAAAATCACATTTTTTGCAGGTTTTGTGTTTGGCGTCAAACGTTTCAATGATTCTCGCAATCTAGTGTTTGCATCGTGCATCCAATATTCAGGATATTTTTCTAGTTCTAAAGATTAAAAGGCGAAATGACATCAAAATAAAAAATATTGAAAACTCCCGGCATCACCTTTAATTTTTGGTGGCCAATACTCGCAATGTGCTGAGAAATGATGTTTTTTTTTTATAATTTGTGATATGTATTCCTCAAACGCTCTACTACGATAACATAATATAAATTTATCATGCCTACCACATGAAATTGTGCAGTTCAAACTAGATTGGTAATTAAACAATACAATTAACGCAATCTTTGATTTATATATACTGGGTTCATTCGGCAGAGAAACGGTCTTGGCAAAATAACGGTTTTTCGGCGATGAATTCATAAGTTATATATAAGGTATATGGGATACCAAAAAAGACATACTAAACAAACTCGTCGGAATTTGTGCTGGGCTTTCGCTATAAACACTTCTTTTACAGCAAATATGAGGGATATAATGGGAGGGCGGGCGAAAGTATTATGTTATTCATGACCTTAGGTTTGTTCATTATAGGCAGAAGCGGAATTTTCGGTTAAAACATAATACATTATTCATGGCGACAGTAATATATTCTTGAACTCCAGGAAAGCTGCTTAAATATGCATTGTAAAGGCCTTTGCGTACATGTGCACGCATTCGTATTTTTAATATTCGTCAAATTTTGGCATTTCGAAAATATTTACGGATTTAAAGCTATATTAAATGCGCGCCAGGAAAACAGTGAACAATATTTTTGCTCTCGCCAAAAAAAAAAATTCCCGTTTTTATTCTGATATATTGTGTAATTTTTTCGCAGACTAATTTTTGTGCCAACAAACAGTGAAGCATATGTGTCAAAAATATAAAAACCATGAAAAGATTATTTCGTCCAAAACTGATTGGTATAATCCATTAAACAATATTTGGTATATATACTGAAATAATTTGTATTTGAAGGTATTTTTAAATCACTTTTAAAATAATCAGATAGGAGGCCTAACTCCACCACTATAGATGCATTTATTTGTGTATATACTCTAGACTGGAGTCTAGACTCGAATGATCAGCTGAAATCGTATGACGTAATTTTTCTCTACACAGGCGACGTGAAAAGTTTTGGGTTTTTTGTTATTGAATAAATGACGTAACAAGTGCGTCACAATGCACTCAACACCGTCACATAGTCCGGTAAAGCGTATTTTCAAACTTGAATTGAACGAACTTGGCTTTGGTGAATCAGAATCAAGCGTGTATACGTCGTGTACATCAGGTATTTGTAAATAAAAGGATGAATCAACAGTTCACACAGAGTATGTATTTTGTCAATACGGGAGAATTAATTCTCGATATACTCAACGTCACAGACACATATGAAAAGAACAAATGAAATGCCAAAACCCACAAAGTCATTTTTAACGAAGCATACCCTTATTCATCCGCATTTTAACTGTCTGTTATCTGGAAGAAATATCGCTAATATTTCTATTCTTGATATTGTTCAAAAAAAGAAAGAATTATACAAACAAATTTATAATTAATGACCAACAAACGTGAATAACTTTTAGTAAGTGAGTCATCGGCAGTCATATAGAATAAAAGTTTATCTCTTATGAATATAAATTAGTAAATATTACTCAAAATATAGTTCATGTTACATTACGTAATCTGGTTTAAAATGACTCATATAGGGCATATACCTTTGGTGTATATTTATGTAAAGATATATTTGTTGAAATAAATAAAATTTGTTCATAATGATCAGTCAAATTGGTAACGATACTGAATGTTTTTTACATTTAATGCTTATGCGTTGCACGGTGCAAAAACTGAACATATTGCCATGTAATTTTTTTTAGCGTGTCAGAAATCACGTTACCGCGCGTACCCCTACTGTTTGAATATTCCCTACATCGTTTCACAAATCTGAACAGAACAGCGAGTTCGGATTTGATACATAATATTATTGATACAAATATTATATTACTTTCATAACGGGGCCATTACAGAGATATCCCCCATGCTGAGGAAATAACATTACTAATCGATATAAATAAAATATTGTTTTTAACAGTAAACGTTCCAACATACCTTTGTGCGGTGGATCCAAGCAGATGCATGTTTTGAAAACTAGCATTGCTAATATGGCTCTAATAATCATAATGATGTAACAGGAGCGTCTCGGTACGTTATTATCATATATATAATTTACTTCTCAATGAGCAAAAAACTGTAACAAGGAAGTTATTTCTAAGCAACTTTGATAAATTGTGAGTGATATATTAATCAAAGTTGAGTATTAGAAGTATGTTGAATCTTCATCACGCATCATCTGCCTCGACTGTTTTTTTTTTTATTAAGTACTCTCTCCACTTTTAGTTTGAAGTTTCGAAACCTTGCTTTGAACTAACTTGAAATAATTGATATTCCGAATTTTATACATTTTATGTATGGATCTATACCCTCCTAGTGTGGCTCATTCCATTCAAGAATTAATAAATTAAAACCAGATGATTATGCTGAAACTGAAAAAACTGAGTTGTTGTAACCAATCTTATTCAACTATATTCTATTTATATATTTTCCACTCGTATTCATATTTCAACTATAGAAACAATGATAATCTCTGACAAAGACTGTCCACACGTGAGTCGTTTATTCCCGTTGCCGGAAATTTTCATTCGTAACCTTCCATTACCCACTTGTATAAGCTTCTCTTGCCTATTCTCCAGTCTCTCATTATTATAATCTCATTTACGCTCTTACCGCTTTCCTATTGAGTCAATTAAAATTGAATTGCACCTCCTTCACTATGAAGAATACACGTTTACGCGTGCAAGCTGCTCAAGTTGGGCATATTTCATCGTTGTTATAATGTATTTTGTTGTTTTGGAAACCGTATTTTCTTCCCTGAATTATGCATAAGTTGGCTGCATGTTGGCAGTATATATGCGAGAGTATTATACCTTCAAAAATATTCATTATTGTTGCGTGATTTTTAACGTTACTCTTTTTTTTCTGATACTGTACTATTTTCGCATTGAAAAGCACATACCACCGACAGACAGACGTTTTGCTTGATTTGGTACTCCCGAAGTATGTGAACCAATTGGCGGACACCCGCACGTAGTATGTGTACCGAGTTGGGGTTAAGCCAGAATTGTATATAAATTTTCCTTATTTTAGTTCTATTATGAGTTCGGGGACTAGCCAAGTGACTCCCGTAGTGTTTATACCTGAACTTATGACCTAACCCTAACCTGGTACACATACTACGTTCCGGTGTCCGCCATCTTGGTTCGCATACTTCGGGAGTATCACTAATTTTACTCAAAGAAACACACAAGGTTAAATAATGCCCTTCGTTTTTGTCATCATGAATATAGGGGGCTATGAAGTAAAATCGGAACCTTTTTATGTAACCAAATAAAACTTTATCATGATAGTAAAAAATACATAAAATATATATTATAATAAAAACTTAAATTTATTATGCGCAACCCTCCTTCTTAACGTGTTAAAAACAAGTTGATTGCTCTCCCCGAGGTACAGCGAAATCAGCGTTGTTTGGCTCAAGATAAATTTTGCAATCCTTTTTTGTAAACGCTCGCTCAGAAGCACAAGAAACGATGAAACGTAAATTGTTCATCCCAACCCGGCATTATATAGAGAAATTTGAACCTCAAATTAGATAAAAGTTTATTTATTTAATTAACTTATAAATGTGGATATAACTCTCGTATTTATTGAAGTTATTTTTATTTAAAAATCGTGTCCAATAGAAGACTTTTTCTATTATTATACCAATGCTCTCAGGGATTTGGCTAAACCAATTGGCACGGTATAATTGCATGATTTGGTTTAAATAGACAGATCCGTACTGGTAAAAAGTATATTACCTACGTCAATTGTCTAATGGCTGGGACATGCTTGCACGTGCATAATCGAAAACAAAAAATGTAAGCATACATATTTGATCAATTACAAACAATAGATGCAATGCCCTTTCTAGGTTATTGAAATTTCGGTAGTGTTCACTAATTTTGCATGTTTGATTAAATTTAAATTAAGTTCAAAAAAGTTTGCCACTGATATTTAATTGCTGGTAGAAATCCAGAAGTTACAATAAAATGCAAACCTTTTTGTTTTTTTCTGCGCAAATTGAAACTAGTTTACGTATTAAATAAATACCATCGTAAATGAGATTACGTACTAAATATTATGTTACCACTTTACGCATGAAGTATACTGTCATTGCGGGAAATTTGAATAAAAAAAATTTGGAATTTTGGATTTGGCTCAAATTGGATGGAATTGTATGTGGTATATGACCATGAATGACCTTGATTTATTTGCTTGGAAAGTTTGTACGCATACGGCCTAATACAAATGCCAATTTGTAAATTTTATCATTGTACATATTTCTGTGGGAATGAACTGTTATCACTTGAGGTTCGAGTTCATTCGCGTTGAGGTGATGTAAAAAATAAAAGATTTTCTTCAAGATTTTCTTCAATCAGATTGGTTCCTTTAAAAAAAAATATTGAGTTGTCATTGCTATATTATAGCATTTTATTGACTCAAGACAATTGTGTCATCAGTTCTAATTAGAAGCATTATTTCAAGCAGAAATCACTTGCACACATCAGTATTAACAAGTTTAATTCGTCGCCTCAGTAGATTTCTGGCAAATCATCTAAATAACCAACGGTATACTGAAAAGGTCGAGAGCCACTGGCCTCGGTAACGATAATAAACACCTCCATGCAAGTAATAGAAAAATTAGAATGACCTACGCGTTTGTGAAACGCGCATATCAAAAGCGCGCATGGATTTGTTCGGTTTGGCTTTGAAGTCACATTATAAATATATTTTACATTCTTCTCCATATTCCAAAGGACCATACCCAACTTTTGAGAATGAAAACTATTTAGTTTATTGACTTCAAAATCGCATCATAATTCATTGGAATAAAATAAGGTTTAACGCAAATTTTACTCCTTCAAATAATTTTGAATTATACCGACGTCGACGCGAAAACCGAAACGTGACTGCTTGCCAAAAAAATAAATTGTAATTATGTCATAATGCACTCTCATATACAGCGTGCATTATTTTCTAATACGCAAACAAAACGTATACTTTACGTCTAACTTTCCCCAGTCGCTGACGTGGAAAGTCGTTTGCATCAAATGATATGCAAACAGTATGATAAACAAATTGTATCCTCTGCCAAAGCAACGGCATTCACATACGTAATAGTAAATCTTTTTTCGGTGGCTCATTCCGTCAGCAATACATACTCGTATGTGCATAAACAGGCGAACTTTAATACGTAAACCAAACTAAGTCATCCAGCTATCCCAAATTACTAGGGAATATAGAAGTTCTTGCAGCGAGCAGTCGAGGTTATTCCATACATGTTAGAACGTGTTTTTTGTTTTGTATTTCATTTGTGCGTAAAGTGGTCAATTTTTCAATATCTCGGCTAGGGTTAGCCATAAATTCACTACCTTGCAACAACTTTTACTAAGTTATTATAGATAGAACAATAATTTGTTGAATGACTTCTGTAACTAGGCACAAATATAAGTTAAAATGCCCTATAGCAATCACAATATTAGCACCAATAATAGGCCAATGTTGGTAAAGTTTTCCAATTTTTTTTATATTGTATCTAGTTTCACATCATAATTTTTATTCGTAGCCCACACGTGATTATCATCGCCAATTGATATTATTTATTGATCGATCGAATTATTCAAAAAAAAAATGACTTACTCTCCTATTTCAGTTTTTGTTTTAGGGTTTTTATTTTTAGCGTAATATGTCATGATTGTAGATCTTTAACTCGCATATATGTACACTTGAAAACCTCTGATGACGACTGTAAAATTGGATTGGCGTGGATTGGGAATAATCCAGTAGTGACAGCCTATAATTTGCAATATCCAATTCGAAGTTATCTTTACATATTTTAAAATTTCCAAGCACATGAGTAACATATACATTTGCAAATAACGTAATTTAATAAGCTGTCATCGCAACTTAAATACGCATTAGTACGCACGAAATTTACGTTCACGTAATCGAAAATAGAAAGTTTGGAGTTGTGTTTTTATTTGTTGTTTATTTAAACTTCCATTTTGCACCATTTACGTATACTAATGCATTCGTTTACATTATACATATATCAACATCGTAAGACGCACTGTCAAATAATGAATGCACGAGCTATAATTTCGATGTTGTGCGTGAAAATCGTCAAATTCTAGCATACATACCTTTCTTGGGCAAGAACCAAATATTGATTATTTTGCATCATGTTTTATTTTGATCACTTATATATAAACACAGATCCTTCAATAAGATTGTTTATTTTTCCAACCATAAATGCACAAAATATGATCTATAATGTTCGGAATAAGACAGGGATGGCGAACTACTGACGTCAAGTCACAAAATAATGCAAGAAACATACAAACTTAAGGTACTGGTCGGCAGGTACCGTACCGTAAAGGTGCCTGTAGCTTCGAATTTCTCAGCAATGGCTCGATCATCCATTGTCCAAACAGCGCCAAAATTGCTCGGTAAGACTTTCGTGTGGTAACCAACCTTTCCAGCTAGACGACATGTACCGTGATTAGTAAATATATTTAGGTGATACGGGCGCTAATAATATTTTTCTTTTTATAGCTATTTTGATAATAATACATCGGAATGAGTAGTTGACCCGCTGGTACGCGAATCGGATTTTTTGCAAAGCTGCGAGAAATTATATTATTTTGTATCAGTGTAGCCGCTTGGTTACTGAATATACGAAGCAAAGTTGCTTTTTTTTGGCGATTGGCATTTGGATTAGGTGTATGGTATTAATTACTAGACGGTGTCTTGGCTAGGTATGGCGGAATCGAGTCCGGATTCGATTAAAGAATCGATTCGTCGCAGAATCGATTCTCGAGGTTAAAACTTGCATTGCAAACAATGTTTTGTGGAAATTCCTCCACATATATATGTGTAAACTGCTTTACTGCTATGTTGAGTTGCTACGACGTCGCAAACTTCACTATATATATATATATTTTCGCTATAAGGCTTTTACGTTCATTCATCTAAAATCGCTGTGGGTTCTGAGGGACACGTTTTTTTGTGCGATTTTGTTTCTTGTGAGAGATTGGATACACATACAACTTAGTTTCGACCTTCTTGTCCGTCGAGATATTTG